ACATGATATTATATATACATACATCTAGGTTTTTTTCCTTTTTCTAAATAGCTCTTGTTCTTTTTTATTTCTTCTATTGTCCATGGGAGGTGGAAAAGAATCTTTCCTCCGTAAGCCATGCGTGTCGTATGAGGCGACTAAAATGCCGGAGCAATGGGCTAGTAACCCCTTCTCCTGTATACAATTACTAAAAAAGAGAAGAAGAAAAACTTTATAAAACTGGGTTGCTTAAATGTGCGTGGATGTAGTGCGGATGACAAGAAACAGATGATTGCTGATGTTATGAATGAAAAGAAGTTGGATGTCCTGGCCCTAAGCGAAACAAAGCTGAAGGGGGTAGGAGAGTTTCAGTGGGGGAAATAAATGGGATTAAATCTGGAGTATCTGAGAGAGTTAGAGCAAAGGAAGGGGTAGCAGTAATTTAAATGATCAGTTATGGAAGGAGAAAAGAGAATATGAATGTGTAAATTCAAGAATTATGTGGATTAAAGTAAAGGTTGGATGCGAGAAGTGGGTCATAATAAGCGTGTATGCACCTGAGAAGAGAGGAATGCAGAGGAGAGAGAGAGATTTTGGGAGATGTTAAGTGAATGTATAGGAGCCTTTGAACCAAGTGAGAGAGTAATTGTGGTAGGGGACTTGAATGCTAAAGTAGGAGAAACTTTTAGAGAGGGTGTGTAGGTAAGTTTGGGGTGCCAGGTGTAAATGATAATGGGAGCCCTTTGATTGAACTTTGTATAAAAAGGGGTTTGGTTTAGGTAATACATATTTAAGAAAAAGAGGATAAATAAGTATACACGATATGATGTAGGGCGAAATGACAGTAGTTTGTTGGATTATGTATTGGTAGATAAAAGACTGTTGAGTAGACTTCAGGATGTACATGTTTATAGAGGGGCCACAGATATATCAGATCACTTTCTAGTTGTAGCTACACTGAGAGTAAAAGGTAGATGGGATACAAGGAGAATAGAAGCATCAGGGAAGAGAGAGGTGAAGGTTTATAAACTAAAAGAGGGCAGTTAGGGTAAGATATAAACAGCTATTGGAGGATAGATGGGCTAATGAGAGCATAGGCAATGGGGTCGAAGAGGTATGGGGTAGGTTTAAAAATGTAGTGTTAGAGTGTTCAGCAGAAGTTTGTGGTTACAGGAAAGTGGGTGCAGGAGGGAAGAGGAGCGATTGGTGGAATGATGATGTAAAGAGAGTAGTAAGGGAGAAAAAGTTAGCATATGAGAAGTTTTTACAAAGTAGAAGTGATGCAAGGAGGGAAGAGTATATGGAGAAAAAGAGAGAAGTTAAGAGAGTGGTGAAGCAATGTTAAAAAGAGAGCAAATGAGAGAGTGGGTGAGATGTTATCAACAAATTTTGTTGAAAATAAGAAAAAGTTTTGGAGTGAGATTAACAAGTTAAGAAAGCCTAGAGAACAAATGGATTTGTCAGTTAAAAATAGGAGAGGAGAGTTATTAAATGGGAGAGTTAGAGGTATTGGGAAGATGGAGGGATATTTTGAGGAATTGTTAAATGTTGATGAAGATAGGGAAGCGTGATTTCGTGTATAGGGCAAGGAGGAATAACATCTGTAGGAGTGAGGAAGAGCCAGTTGTTGAGTGTGGGGGAAGTTCGTGAGGCAGTAGTAAAATGAAAGGGGGTAAGGCAGCTGGGATGATGGGAAAAGATAGAAATGTTAAAAGCAGGTGGGATATAGTTTTGGAGTGGTTGGTGCAATTATTTAATAAATGTATGGAAGAGGGTAAGGTACCTAGGGATTGGCAGAGAGCATGCATAGTTCCTTTGTATAAAGGCAAAGGGGATAAAAGAGAGTGCAAAAATTATAGGGGGATAAGTCCGTTGAGTGTACCTGGTAAAGTGTATGGAGAGTTATAATTGAAAGAATTAAGAGTAAGACGGAGAATAGGATAGTAGATGAACAAGGAGGCTTTAGGAAAGGTAGGGGGTGTGTGGGACCAGTGTTTACAGTGAAACATATAAGTGAACAGTATTTAGATAAGGCTAAAGAGGTCTTTGTGGCATTTATGGATTTGGAAAAGGCGTATGACAGGGTGGATAGGGGGGCAATGTGGCAGATGTTGCAAGTGTATGGTGTAGGAGGTAGGTTACTGAAAGCAGTGAAGAGTTTTTACGAGGATAGTGAGGCTCAAGTTAGAGTATGTAGGAAAGAGGGAATTTTTTTCCCAGTAAAAGTAGGCCTTAGACAAGGATGTGTGATGTCACCGTGGTTGTTTAATATATTTATAGATGGGGTTGTAAGAGAAGTAAATGCGAGGGTCTGCAAGAGGCGTGGAGTTAAAAGATAAAGAATCACACACAAAGTGGGAGTTGTCACAGCTGCTCTTCGCTGATGACACTGTGCTCTTGGGAGATTCTGAAGAGAAGTTGCAGAGATTGGTGGATGAATTTGGTAGGGTGTGCAAAAGAAGAAAATTAAAGGTGAATACAGGAAAAGTAAGGTTATGAGGATAACAAAAAGATTAGGTGATGAAAGATTGAATATCAGATTGGAGGGAGAGAGTATGGAGGAGGGTGAACGTATTCAGATATTTGGGAGTGACGTGTCAGCGTGGGTCTATGAAAGATGAGGTGAATCATAGAATTGATGAGGGAAAAAGAGTGAGTGGTGCACTTAGGAGTCTGTGGAGACAAAGAACTTTGTCCTTGGAGGCAAAGAGGGAATGTATGAGAGTATAGTTTTAACCAACGCTCTTATATGGGTGTGAAGCGTGGGTGATGAATGTTGCAGCGAGGAGAAGGCTGGAGGCAGTGGAGATGTCATGTCTGAGGGCAATGTGTGGTGTGAATATAATGCAGAGAATTCGTAGTTTGGAAGTTAGGAGGAGGTGCGGGATTACCAAAACTGTTGTCCAGAGGGCTGAGGAAGGGTTTGTTGAGGTGGTTCGGACATGTAGAGAGAATGGAGCGAAACAGAATGACTTCAAGAGTGTATCAGTCTGTAGTGGAAGGAAGGCGGGGTAGGGGTCGGCCTAGGAAGGGTTGGAGGAGGGGGTAAAGGAGGTTTTGTGTGCGAGGGGCTTGGACTTCCAGCAGGCATGCGTGAGCGTGTTTGATAGGAGTGAATGGAGACAAATGGTTTTTAATACTTGACGTGCTGTTGGAGTGTGAGCAAAGTAACATTTATGAAGGGATTCAGGGAAACCGGCAGGCCGGACTTGAGTCCTGGAGATGGGAAGTACAGTGCCTGCACTCTGAAGGAGGGGTGTTAATGTTGCAGTTTAAAAACTGTAGTGTAAAGCACCCTTCTGGCAAGACAGTGATGGAGTGAATGATGGTGAAAGTTTTTCTTTTTCGGGCCACCCTGCCTTGGTGGGAATCGGCCAGTGTGATAATAAAAAAAAAAAAAAAAAAATATATATTTGAACTGTGTTGCGGCCCCCTACCAAACTAGCGGTAAAATGGTTAACCTGCCGGCCGGCAGTACCACTGGGTACGTCATCAAACTCAATGTGGGGACTGCTGAGCCGGCCTTAGCAGCAAGTACCTGAACACCTCACGGTATGCATGTAAGCAGTAGGTACCTGAACACCTCACGGTACACATCTACTGGCTTTAGAAGCAGTAGGTACCTGAACACCTCACAGTACATATGTACTGGCTTTAGAAGCAGTAAGTACCTGAACACCTCACGGTACACATCTACTGGCTTTAGAAGCAGTAGGTACCTGAACATCTCATGGTACACAACTACTGGCTTTAGAAGAAGTACCTGAACACCTCACGGTACACATCTAAGCAGTAGTTACCAGAACACCTAATGGTACACATCTACTGGCAGTAGAGAGTATTCTACTGGCTTCTACTGATTTTAGAAGAACCACTCACCGCAGCTCACTGAGTCTGATGGCCTCAGTTACTTGACGGCCGCACTCAGTGAGCTTGCAGCACGGTGTTCTGCTAGTAATTCATCGGACCACCTTGCGGTGTGTCAATTGGTCTTAAAGGCGGTAGATAGTACTCACCAGACCATCTTACGGTGTACTTCTACCGGCCTTAGAGTATTTACAGGACTACCGGTGATGTCTGCAGACTCACCGCCTACCCTGGTCAACTGTGGGCTGGAGTCATCTGATGCTGTTTTAGTGGGACATTACATGAAGAAAAGGTTGGAGTGTTACACTGAACTGGGCTAGGACCGTAGTGTGACACTTAAGCAAGTATGATGGAGTGGAACACTGAGATATGCTACAGGACCGTAGTGGAACACTGGGAAGAAAAGGGTGTCTTGTGACACTGAAGATGGCCTGGTTGTAGTGTACATTGAATAGTATCATGTGACTGGCCTCTCAAAAGACGCTACGTCGATAGTGAGTGTGTCGCAGAGACAAGGGTGTCAAGTGTAACACAGTCGAGAAAGGGTATGGATGACACAGAGAAAAGTGTCGTGTGACACGGAGAGCTGGAGTGTCTGGTGACACAGAGAAAAGGGTGTCAAGGGACACGGTTGTGAAGGAGCGTCATCACACGGCGAAAAGGGTGTCGAGTGACACGGTGGAGAAGGAGCGTCACAACTCGAATAAGTGTCGTGTGGGACACAGAGCGTCATTATAAGTGTCATGTAAGACACGGAGTTGATCATAATTTATTATTATACAAATGTTATTTATAATTTATTATTTTAGCATAGATATATATATAGTGAGACAGGAGTGTCAAGGAAGTTGTACCTTGTGTAGGGTTACGAATTATTTATTATTTTAGTAAAATGCTAATTATAATTTATTATTGTAACTTGTATATATGATCAGATGTTTATTAGTTCAAATACCTCTAGACCAAAGATAGTTGTTTTTATATTATATTAAAGATTATTTGATTTTAATGTTGTATTTATGTATACCGAACTCTTTATTACAAAATGAGTAAACCTACCATCTTTAAAAATAACTTTTTTTGTAATAAACTGTAAGGATAAGAAATATAGTATAATCCACATAAGAGAAAATGTAAATCAAAGTGGTATTTACCTTCTCACTGAGAAGTCTCATACTGTCATATACATCTGTGTAGGACTTGGCCCATGGAAAAAGTTCTTTAACCCAGTTACACTCAGGTTGGGTCTCACATAAGTGGCTCTGAATATGACAACCATATTTGTTTGCAAGTTGACCTAATGATGCTAGTTGATCCTCTGGGCAGGTGGGGGCAAACCGAGGTGTGACAATTGGTTGCACTAGTGGAGACTGTAAAGAGAAGACACTGACACTAGTAAAGCTTGAAACTAAGCATATCAAAATACTTCACCCACTTTATTAATTTACTTAAAATAAGATAAAAACATCAGTTTTATTGTCACATCAACTAGCATTTAATGAAACTAAAATTTCTATGCAATATTTAATTATCTCTCTGAAAATCACTACGAGGAAGTAAGGATGATGTTTAGAGGTCATTTGAATTTTCATTTATCCACACTTCTGAATCATGGTTAATGCATGTCTTGTTTTTAGAGGGGGGGGTGGAGGGGGGGGACACCACCTCAGTGGGAGACAGTTTGTATTTCTTGTTTCACTACTTGATTTTCTAGTTAATTTCTCTGATGACAATGAAGGGTTCTTTATTCAAGAAACTGGAGCTACCTTTTTTTCTTGGATCAATCCTGATTACCTCCAATTTTCCAGACACTGTATGACTCCTACACTTTAGCCATCACTTTTCCCTACTCAGTTGGGTTTCCTAATTAATATTATAAAAAATATGACCATAATGAACAGTATTTTGGGTGTGTCAAGATGCGTGTTTATTCATAAGGAGTACAGAAAAACAGGTATATTTATTTTCATGAAGGAAGCACTAAGAGGTCATACATTATCCGGGGAATGGGAAGTGATCAGGTTTAATCCATGAAGTGGAGTGTAGCTCCAAAGCCTTGAATCAAAAGCACTTCACCATCGTCAAGACATCTTCTAATAGGGGAGAATGTATAAACATGGTGAAATTATAGTATGGTTGACCTCTCATTTAATCCTTAAACTGTCCAAACATAGATCTACGTTCACATGCATAGCTCTCCGAACGTAGATCTACGTTTCTTTTTTACATGCTTTCAAATGGAGAAAATAAAGGTCGGAGCACTATGCACGTGAACGTAGATCTACGTTTGGACAGTTTAAAGGTTAACGCTAAAGTTATATTCATGATAATGGAGTGTAAATAAAAAAAAATGTAAAATGAGCTGAAGCATGTATAGAAAAACCAGAGTTATGTTCCTCGAATCCCCAAAAATGACTATTATCTTTGACAAAAAGTTTTCCATTCCTTACATTATAGTTGTCATTTGTTGATCTGGAAATGAGTGGAGAAGGTAGATGTGACCCAGTACAATACCTGTTAACATTTGTGACAGGCAGTACCACAACTATCACCTGCTACCACCATCACCTGCCAACATCAGTAAAAATATGGTATATTACCAGCCATACGACAAATTTTTTACTAAATTAATATGCTCAAAATATAACAAAATATAAAAAAAATCCCCAGCTATCATCATGCCCTGTTGTTGTTGGTTTCAAGGGCTGTGATGGCCCAAGGGCTTAAAGTCTATCTCATTACTATGAGATTAACTACCAGAATACTGTTGTGAATATAAACAATTTAATTAATGTTAATAATTTTTACTTGATGTGTAATTGTTTTATATGATGGTAGGATTGCTGGTGCCTTTTTTCTGTCTTATAAACATGTAAGATTTCAGGTACGTCTTGCTACTTCTATTTACACTTAGGTCACACTACACATGCATGTGCAAGCATACATATATTCACACCCCTCTGGGGTTTCTTCTATTTTATTACTAGTTCTTGCTCTTGTATATTTCTTCTTATCTCCATGGGAAAGTGGAACAGAATACTTCCTTCGTAAGCCGTGTGTGTCGTAAGAGGCGACTAAAATGCCATGAGCAAAGGGCTAGTAACCCGTTCTTCTGTATACATCACTAAATTTAAAAAGAGAAACTTTCATTTTTCTTTTTTAGCTCGCCCTGCCTTGGTAGGATATGGCCAGTTTGTTGAAAAAAAATTAAATAAACAATTTAATTAAAACAGTATCCTTTTCCTCACATATTCAATGATAGGAATGTGTATGGGAGGGAACAGAGAGGAGAGAAAGAGCAGACTGAGCACTGCTGACAGTAAGGGCACCCTCCCACATGTAATGGTTTATCACAAATACAAATTCATCAACTAAACTGATGTACAGTTTATATGCAGAATGTACTGTATGCAACTTATATACAATTTCCTCTCATTTTAACCCTGATTATGCAAAGCAAAGGATATATAAATCTAGGTGGAGTCTCACTCAGTTTCTACATAAACATTATATCGAGGTATCCTTTCATTTTAGCCCTGACAATGCTAAGGATATGAAAACACTGCCTGTATTGACTGGTATGTTCAAAACACCTAATTTTATCACATCTATTAATTAACCCTTAAACTACGTCCAACGTACTAGTACACAAGTGATGTCTGTGTGTCCAATGTTTGGCTCTCACTCGTATGCATTTTACTGTTCTTTGTTAAGACATCTAGGAAGCATGATACTGTTGAAGGAGATTGTGATAGTGACATTGATGGTGTTTTCAATGGTATCAGAAAATGACAAGCAGTACCAATGCCAGTGAAAATACCAGTCATATCTAGGTAAGGGGCATACCCTATTCATAGATAACAGACACACAAGCCCTACTCTTTGTGATTTCTTCAAGGTGAACAATACAGATTGTGTGGGGACAGTGAGAGGAAACAGCCTTGGATACCAATGAAGTGCAGGTATTTCATACCAGTTACATGATGAAATTTTGATGGCATGATGAAACTGTACTCAGGCATCAGATGAAGGAAAGTAGAATTGACTAGCAAACAGATGAACCTACTGTGAAACCACTTAGTCATTGACTACATTACCAACATGCATTTGGTAAACAAATGTGGCATGCACAATGACTGTGTGGAATATCAGGAGCTTCAAGTGGTGAATTTCTTGAGAAACTAAACTACATTTAATCCTCAAAGAAAACCTTACCTGAATACTTCTAATATAACGGATGAACTCTTCTGTGTCTCTGATAGACTCCTGCACACTCAGCTCACGGTAATATTCGGGACAATTGCGCATCATATTCACTTTACCAATAAGAGCACGCTGACCTTTGTCGTGTACTACATCAGCCAGAATTTTGGAACCCTCAAGGTGGATAGTTCCAAAGTATGCAGCAGTTGTTGTCCCATTGCGCAACAATCGTTCCTTAAGTAACGAAAACAAGTTAGCATTAATTTGTACTTATAAAACACAAACTTAGTCGTTATACTATGCAAAATGTTACTCTGTTATATGAAACAGATCATTCTACACAGCTCAATACTATCTGTATTCACTTGTTACAAGAAATTCACATCATCATTAACTGTCACAACTTTATTATTAAAAATACTGTACTTCCTGTATTCATAATCCAAACTGTTTCTCTCAAAATCTTTTCCATAGTCACTTTTCCGCTTCTAATTTTCCGCTTCCCATATTTTCAGTGTTTCGCAGAGTTTTACTTTAGCAACAGTATTCAAATAAATTGTACAGTAGCAAATTTCCAATTGTACAGTACTAATAATAGCCAGTGATCCAATAAGTTATGCTACTAACAACAGTGATCCAATAAGTTATGCTACTAACAACAGTGTTCAAATAAGTTATGCTACTAACAACAGTGATCCAATAAGTTATGCTACTAACAACAGTGATCCAATAAGTTATGCTACTAACAACAGTGATCCAATAAGTTATGCTACTAACAACAATGATCCAATAAGTTATGCTACTAACAACAGTGATCCAATAAGTTATACTACTAACAACAGTGATCCAATAAGTTATGCTACTAACAACAGTGATCCAATAAGTTATGCTACTAACAACAGTGATCCAATAAGTTTGCTACTAACAACAGTGATCCAATAAGTTATGCTACTAACAACAGTGATCCAATAAGTTATGCTACTAACAACAGTGTTCCAATAAGTTTGCTACTAACAACAGTGATCCAATAAGTTATGCTACTAACAACAGTGATCCAATAAGTTTGCTACTAACAACAGTGATCCAATAAGTTATGCTACTAACAACAGTGATCCAATAAGTTATGCTACTAACAACAGTGATCCAATAAGTTTGCTACTAACAACAGTGATCCAATAAGTTATGCTACTAACAACAGTGATCCAATAAGTTATGCTACTAGCAACAGTGATCCAATAAGTTTGCTACTAACAACAGTGATCCAATAAGTTATGCTACTAACAACAGTGATCCAATAAGTTATGCTACTAACAACAGTGTTCCAATAAGTTATGCTACTAACAACAGTGTTCCAATAAGTTATGCTACTAACAACAGTGTTCCAATAAGTTATGCTACTAACAACAGTGATCCAATAAGTTATGCTACTAACAACAGTGATCCAATAAGTTATGCTACTAACAACAGTGTTCCAATAAGTTATGCTACTAACAACAGTGATCCAATAAGTTATGCTACTAACAACAGTGATCCAATAAGTTATGCTACTAACAACAGTGTTCCAATAAGTTATGCTACTAACAACAGTGATCCAATAAGTTATGCTACTAACAACAGTGTTCCAATAAGTTATGCTACTAACAACAGTGTTCCAATAAGTTATGCTACTAACAACAGTGATCCAATAAGTTATGCTACTAACAACAGTGATCCAATAAGTTATGCTACTAACAACAGTGTTCCAATAAGTTATGCTACTAACAACAGTGTTCCAATAAGTTATGCTACTAACAACAGTGTTCCAATAAGTTTTACTAACAAAAAATGCTTCAATAAGATATAGTAATAAACAGGTGTTCCAGTGGCAGTCTATATCATCCTTCTTCAGAAGTATGTCATTCATCAGTGTAAGAGGATACAACATGCAATACTCACCACTACTTTACTATACACTTCTCTGGCAAAAAGAGTGTCGGAAAAGTTAGCTTCCGTTGGGAATGTGTACGTTTGCAGCCACTCTAGTAGTGGCAGGTCCATAGCTACACCGTTGTTGGGGAACTGTGAGGCATGGATGTGTGTGTCTATCATTCCTGGCATCATGAACTGACTGTTGTGGGAAAGAAGCCATATTAACTTTAAACTAACATTACTGCCAACAGTTGCATTATCCTATATACGTATGTACATCACGAGTAAAGAAACTTTCTTCCCTCACAGTGATGAGGAAGAAACACATTTCTTACTTCCCTTCACAATCAACAACCTGTGTCTTTTTTATATTTTATTTTTTATTATCACACTGGCTGATTCCCACCAAGGCAGGGTGGCCCGAAAAAGAAAAACTTTCACCATCATTCACTCCATCACTGTCTTGCCAGAAGGGTGCTTTACACTACAGTTTTTAAACTGCAACATTAACACCCCTCCTTCAGAGTGCAGGCACTGTACTTCCCATCTCCAGGACTCAAGTCCGGCCTGCCGGTTTCCCTGAACCCCTTCATAAATGTTACTTTGCTCACACTCCAACAGCACGTCAAGTATTAAAAACCATTTGTCTCCATTCACTCCTATCAAACACGCTCACGCATGCCTGCTGGAAGTCCAAGCCCCTCGCACACAAAACCTCCTTTACCCCCTCCCTCCAACCTTTCCTAGGCCGACCCCTACCCCGCCTTCCTTCCACTACAGACTGATACACTCTTGAAGTCACTGTTTCGCTCCATTCTCTCTACATGTCTGAACCACCTCAACAACTCTTCCTCAGCCCTCTGGACAACAGTTTTGGTAATCCCGCACCTCCTCCTAACTTCGAAACTACGAATTCTCTGCATTATATTCACACCACACATTGCCCTCAGACATGACATCTCCACTGCCTCCAGCCTTCTCCTCGCTGCAACATTCATCACCCATGCTTCACACCCATATAAGAGCGTTGGTAAAACTATACTCTCATACATTCCCCTCTTTGCCTCCAAGGACAAAGTTCTTTGTCTCCACAGACTCCTAAGTGCACTGCTCACCCTTTTCCCCTCATCAATTCTATGATTCACCTCATCTTTCATAGACCCATCCGCTGACACGTCCACTCCCAAATATCTGAATACATTCACCTCCTCCATACTCTCTCCCTCCAATCTGATATCCAATCTTTCATCACCTAATCTTATTGTTATCCTCATAACCTTACTCTTTCCTGTATTCACTTTTAATTTTCTTCTTTCGCACACCCTACCAAATTCATCCACCAATCTCTGCAACTTCTCTTCAGAATCTCCCAAGAGCACAGTGTCATCAGCAAAGAGCAACTGTGACAACTCCCACTTTATGTGTGATTCTTTATCTTTTAACTCCATGCCTCTTGCCAAGACCCTCGCATTTCCCCATCTATAAATATATTAAACAACCACGGTGACATCACACATCCTTGTCTAAGGCCTACTTTTACTGGGAAATAATTTCCCTCTTTCCTACATACTCTAACTTGAGCCTCACTATCCTCGTAAAAACTCTTCACTGCTTTCAGTAACCTACCTCCTACACCATACACCTGCAACATCTGCCACATTGCCCCCCTATCCATCCTGTCATACGCCTTTTCCAAATCCATAAATGCCACAAAGACCTCTTTAGCCTTATCTAAATACTGTTCACTTATATGTTTCACTGTAAACACCTGGTCCACACACCCCCTACCTTTCCTAAAGCCTCTTGGTTCATCTGCTATCCTATTCTCCGTCTTACTCTTAATTCTTTCAATAATAACTCTACCATACACTTTACCAGGTATACTCAACAGACTTATCCCCCTATAATTTTTGCACTCTCTTTTGTCCCCTTTGCCTTTATACAAAGGAACTATGCATGCTCTCTGCCAATCCCTAGGTACCTTACCCTCTTCCATACATTAATTAAATAATTGCACCAACCACTCCAAAACTATATCCCCACCTGCTTTTAACATTTCTATCTTTATCCCATCAATCCCAGCTGCCTTACCCCCTTTCATTTTACCTACTGCCTCACGAACTTCCCCCACACTCACAACTGGCTCTTCCTCACTCCTACAAGATGTTATTCCTCCTTGCCCTATACACAAAATCACAGCTTCCCTATCTTCATCAACATTTAACAATTCCTCAAAATATTCCCTCCATCTTCCCAATACCTCTAACTCTCCATTTAATAACTCTCCTCTCCTATTTTTAACTGACAAATCCATTTGTTCTCTAGGCTTCCTTAACTTGTTAATCTCACTCCAAAACTTTTTCTTATTTTCAACAAAATTAGTTGATAACATCTCACCCACTCTCTCATTTGCTCTCTTTTTACATTGCTTCACCACTCTCTTAACCTCTCTCTTTTTCTCCATATACTCTTCCCTCCTTGCATCACTTCTACTTTGTAAAAACTTCTCATATGCTAACTTTTTCTCCCTTACTACTCTCTTTACATCATCATTCCACCAATCGCTCCTCTTCCCTCCCGCACCCACTTTCCTGTAACCACAAACTTCTGCTGAACACTCTAACACTACATTTTTAAACCTACCCCATACCTCTTTGACCCCATTGCCTATGCTCTCATTAGCCCATCTCTCCTCTAATAGCTGTTTATATCTTACCCTAACTGCCTCCTCTTTTAGTTTATAAACCTTCACCTCTCTCTTCCCTGATGCTACTATTCTCCTTGTATCCCATCTACCTTTTACTCTCAGTGTAGCTACAACTAGAAAGTGATCTGATATATCTGTGGCCCCTCTATAAACATGTACATCCTAAAGTCTACTCAACAGTCTTTTATCTACCAATACATAATCCAACAAACTACTGTCATTTTGCCCTACATCATATCTTGTATACTTATTTATCCTCTTTTTCTTAAAATATGTGTCTTTATACCTAAACAAAAATAGGTTAGTACTACTAGTCCCCCAATTTGTGAGGTTCCATCCTAAACTGAAAACAAACCATGGGGTTTCATTCAAACCTTCAATCAAAGGGTTTTTCCTGTCTTAAATTGCTTTCTTGCTGGTCAGTCTTCTCTTTTAATGTTAATATTAATCAGATTAGGGCAAAATTTAAGAAGATATGACCTCTAAAACAGCAAATGAACCTAAAATGAATTGTATACTAGTGGCTTTCTTTTGTGCATAACAATATTTTATTACATGTAAGCTACAAAGAAGAAATAAAACAATTTAAATTTGAATCTAAATAAAATTAATTATGCAAGACACAATTTTGCCCAATATGGTGAAGGAATTTTTTGTTAGTGAGCATACCAAAGATGCAGGTCTACTTTATCTCATGTATGTCTAACATTTGTGATCATGGCCATTTTGAGAGAGCTAGAATTTAAATGTTGATCAACATGTGTGTCAGTGTATGCACACCCGTTGATCAACATGTGTCATTGTATGCACACCCGTTGACCAGTCTGTTAGTGTATGCACACCCATTGATCAACGTGTCACTGTATGCACACACGTTGATCAACGTGTATCACTGTGTGCACACGCATTGATCAGCGTGTCAGTGTATGCACACCCGCTGATTAACGTGTATCAGTGTATGGTTCAAAAATGCCAATATCAAAAGTTCAAAACTTCGTAAGTCAGTGCCCTGGTGTAGAAATATTTTAAGTTTGACAATACAGAAATTCAACTTTGCTAAACAGTATTTAAGGATGAATATAATGATGGCAAACGACCCTAAAAGAACACTGGTGGTGTATTAAAAACTATTATTATTATAATCATACAGCACTGCAGGATTAGAAAAAAGTGACATTAAGACTGGTTTTGCCATGTACGACTAATTCCCCCATTTTCTAATACCTGTACATCAACATAATATACTGGAGATGGGAAGTACAGTGCCTGCACTCTGAAGGAGGGGTGTTAATGTTGCAGTTTAAAAACTGTAGTGTAAAGCACCCTTCTGGCAAGACAGTGATGGAGTGAATGATGGTGAAAGTTTTTCTTTTTCGGGCCACCCTGCCTTGGTGGGAATCGGCCAGTGTGATAATAAAATAATAAATAATTTAAGCAGTTTTGCATTTGTTGTTATAGTTAGTTCAATTCAGTTGATTTACATAAACCTATGTAATGAAGAAAAACTGGCTTAAATCCATATACATACTTAGGAAGACAGGTTGAAAGAACTCACCTTGGAGTCATATAGTGAATGTTGGAGTCTGTGAAGCCATACTCTGCCTTAAGATGGTCCAATTCCTCCAAACTTTCCATAAATTCAATCTGAAAAGTTTGCCAAATAATAATTTTCTATGCACTTTATGGGGTAGTTCTGAGAGTGGAAAGGGTGTTTTTTTCCTGCTCAATTGATAGAAAGGAAGGGATAATAGTGAAATAGCTAAAAATTTGGGCAAATTGAACAATGAATTTAGCTTTAAATAGGACTCAAAGTTGGCAAAATTGCCAATGTGTAAATTGTAGCCAGACTGTTAACTTTGCACCTATGTAATTCTGGACATTTTCCATCAAAATTTGTATTTTTGGTGTTATTACCTTCAGAAAAAGATTATCTTAAATTCCAACATTGTCAGAACTTTTAATTTTGGGGGTCCTGACAATAAAGAAGTTTAAAAGGATGTTGTACAAAGATTATTAAAGCAAAGCTGAGTTTTTTTTAAGTATCCTAGTCCAATTATTAGTTAAATAAATTAACATATTTAGAGCAAACACATAAGGGCAAACAGTTAGTTTCAAATACGTGGACAAACTCAATGTAATATTAACATGAACAGAGAAGGATAATTTTTTTAAACACATCAGCTGATTCTCACTAAGGCAGGGTGACCCAAAAGAGAAGAAAGACATTCATCACTCACTCCATCACTGTCTTGCCAGAGGCATACCAATACGTACTACAGTTCAAGACCTGCAACATATCTCCACCCATCCTTCAGAGTGCAGGCACTGTACTTCCCACCTCCAGGAATGTATCCCAAATATCTTAGCCCAGTATGCCTCACAATACAGCAATCTTGCAAAACAAATGCCTCTCTCTCCACTTTCTACCTGTGTGTCAATCATTACGTATTTGTAATTACAGCAGCAGACACATGCCCCTAGTGCTCAATCTCCAGTGTTTTTAAAGTTTACAAGATAATATTTTAGAAAAGTTCTAGGTAGTAGGTTGGTAGACAGCAACCGCCCAGGGAGGTACTACCGTCCTGCCAAGTGAGTGTAAAATGAAAGCCTGTAATTGTTTTGCATGATGGTAGGACTGCTGGTGTCCATTTTTCTGTCTCATAAACATGCAAGATTTCAGGTACGTCTTGCTACTTCTACTTACACTTAGGTCACAGTACACATACATGTTTTTTTTTTTTTTTTCAACAAGTCGGTCGTCTCCCACCGAGGCAGGGTGACCCAAAAAAGAAAGAAAATCCCCAAAAAGAAAATACTTTCATCATCATTCAACACTTTCACCACACTCACACATTATCACTGCTTTTGCAGAGGTGCCCAGAATACAACAGTTTAGAAGCATATACGTATAAAGATACACAACGTATCCCTCCAAACTGCCAATATCCCAAACATGTACAAGCATATATATACACACCCTTCTGGGTTTTCTTCTATTTTCTTACTAGTTCTTGTTCTTGTTTATTTCCTCTTACCTCCATGGGGAAGTGGAACAGAATTCTTCCTCCATAAGCCATGCGTGTTATCAGAGGTGACTAAAATGGCAGGAGCAAGGGGCTAGTAACCCCTGCTCCTGTATATATTACTAAATGTAAAAAGAGAGTTTTGTTTTTCTTTTGGGGCCACCCTGCCTTGGTAGGATACGACAGGTTTATTGAAAAAAAAAATCTAGAAAAGTCAAGGATAACATAACAAATAGAAAGAATCTTACCTTGGTATTGAGAACACCCATAACCATGTCAGTGAGAATAACCATGGGGCTTTCCTCAGTGGAATGAACAAAGGTACCAACAAATACTTCCATATCAGATCTGGCTCTCTGCAAGTACAATATCCAGATTACAGATCACAAATATCTTTTGATCTGGGTAAGGTGTTAATTAATTAATTAAAAGCGTAAGTTTTTGTCTATTTTGCAAACATTTTCAGGTACATGCATGTTAGTTCTAGTTCTATATTATCATTATTATTTTGAACTCAATGCCCCTCAAGGAAGGCTCCTTGATGCTGGTGAGGGGCTCTTGATTCTGGGAATTGGATCTGTGCTCCAGTTCCCTGAATTAAGCCTGAATACCTTCCACATCCCCCCACAGGCGCTGTATAATCCTATGGGTTTAGCACTTCCCCCTTGATTATAATAATAATAATTGAACTTAATGGCCATCTCCCGCCAAGGCAGGGAGACCCAAAGAAGACAACACATTCACCACTGTTCATTCAACTGCAGTCTTTCCAGAAGTGTACTAACATCACCATCAGATTACCCACCAAGTGTAACTTCCTTGCCCCTCCTTCAGTGTGCAGGTGCTGCCCTTCCTCCCTCAATAGAAAAGCACTAAACTTATAAGGGTCATACAGTGCCAATGGAATAATGGAAGGTAATATGACTTGAGCCAAGAGAAGGGTAGCTCTAATTCATTGAATCAAAGCTCTTCATCAGCATCATGGTACTTTTCTGGAAGAGTGGTTCTACCACAAATACTTTGCATACAATAGATCTCATAAAAATGAAAGTCCAGTCAAATTTCATCACTGTATATGTTAACTATTATTATTAGTACTGGTATCATTATTACTATACTTCCTATTTTTTTTTTTTTTTAACAAGTCGACCGTCTCCCACCGAGGCAGGGTGACCCAAAAAAGAAAGAAAATCCCCAAAAAGAAAATACTTTCATCATCATTCAACACTTTCACCACACTCGCACATTATCACTGCTTTCGCAGAGGTGCTCAGAATACAACAGTTTAGAAGCATACACATATAAAGATACACAACATATCCCTCCAAACTGCCAATATCTTCCTATTATTATTGTATAGTTCTGCTGTGAATCCATGCTAATACTTAACATCCTTATAGAGCATGCAGTATTCCTGTTTTATTAATTCAATCTATTTAATTTTTTTCTTTATCAGTGAATGTTGCATATCTTTATGTTCTTATTTTCTTTTTAAATTTTGGACTAACAGTAGTGTTAAATCTAGGTTTATCTTCTTTGTTTCCTGTAAATTTGATTTAATACACAACTTAGCACTGCCTTAATCTTTTTGAGATATTAAGCCTAATGTTATTCTCTCCATTGTTTTATAAATCTTTCATATTGGGAAGGTATCATTTAAGACTAATGTACTGAAAAATATTACTATGTAGTGCTTACCAACTTTGACTGACAGTTTTCCATTATTCTATATATTGTACTCTTGCTGATATTAGGAACTTCAGGATTAAGAGAAAGGAATCTATTTCTTGTTTCTTCTATAGTAATGTCTTCTTTTTGGGAGAGGATATCCATAATCATTTGTTCGTGGTCATCGGATAGCTTTTTTTTTCGACCTGTTGAGGTCTTTCTTTGAATTCTGTGCTCCTTTTTGAAAACCTGAACAACTGATGATACTGTTGATTTAGCTAAGTGCATGAAGTCTGCTACTTCTCTAATTGTTCTATTTTCATTGAAGAAAAGACTGAAAAAGAAAAAATATATTATTATACATTGACTTGAAGCCTCACTATATTGCATAAATAAGAACACCTTCAGCTCATACCCAGAGGCATCCCCGCCCCTCTTCTACTGTGGGAGAGGGACGGGTCATGGCCCCCTTACTCCTCCTCCTTTGTTGGAGGTAAGTTTCTCCACAGGTATTATAATATTTATTCACTGACCCTGCAATCCCCAACTAGCTAATCCATAGGTATTGTACCTATTTACTAAGTGAACTTGGGCAGCAGGTGTAAGGATACCCATACAACTTCCTGTCCAGAAATTAAAACCTAGTCCTTTTGGTTGTGAATCATATGCTCTTATCATTGAACTACATACAAGTAACTAGTGACTTATTTTTGAAGTGGTTAGTTGGTGAATCTGATAATCCCCAAGAAACAAATGGAAATCATTTAAGTATATGATACAAAGCAATAATCTGAAATTTAAATTACTCACTGTTTACCCTACTTTTAGTATACTTGTCTACAGTGTACTGTAAATTATATCATGATCTACAAATGTGATTCAAGTTTCTTTTCATGGCATAATACAAGAGTGATATGTTATAAACCTTGGTAACAGTTACTAACAAATTGTATACCATAACCTCACCTAATGATCATCTCTCTCTCTGCAATAGAGAGCGAACGTCTCTGTCTGCTGATATCCTTGTCCGAAGTAGTTTCAATGGGTCCCGTTTCCTCCATTATACTGACATTTGGTTCAAGTAAACTGTGATTGGTTGATTCTGGCCCTGTCCCTGTCTGGAAGAAAGCACCTCATAATATCCATAAAGCACATGGAATCTTAATGGCAACTTTATTTTAGAAATACGTACGACTGTACTTCGATGGACAATGTTTGCAGACTATGTGAACAAAGAAAAGATTTTATTCTGAAAGTAGAAACAAGTTTTTGGAACAAGAATTTGTATTTGGGAGACCTCAATTAGCATTACCAGGCAAATCATGTTCGTAAAAATGAGGATGGTTATTATTTGCTAAAAGAAAACCCAATCTTCAAAACATTTTCCTTCACCAATCTCACACTGCAATTGAGGTAATAAACCAAACAAGGGCAGACTAATTACAAGGTTGCCAACACCCTATGTCTATTTGACTATTACTGAAACAATATATCAACAATATACAATGAGCATAATGATTTAAATGGCTTTATCAACATTTACTATTCATGATGCAACAATATAATAAATTAAGTTTAACTATATAGCTGCAGACACCAGACTGTTCCAAAATTATTTCCATTGCTAACACATCCCACCACCACCAGGCAACAGACTGCAACTGAAAGAAGGACAAATTCGCATTTCATTTGAAATGACCATAGCAGACAGTTAATGTAATACAGTTGGCAGAAAAGAAGACACACTCAGAAGAGCATGGAGAGTGAAAATAACAGAAGACACCAAGAGAGATTTACCAGGGCTAGAAAACCTACCACCAGCTATCAAAATATGGATAACAAAACAAAACAGCAACTCTCAGGTGCCTATAAATTAGACATGTGTAATTCAACCCAAGATGGGTCAGGATCATGTTGAAGTGGTGCAATGAAAAATAAATGCCAGACTCAGCTCAAACCCTAAGCTTAATTTGCCTAAACTTGTTGTGACAAGAAGCACTGGAGTGTAAGTGCAATTCTTGTGCAACAGTTGAGCACCTTTATTGCTGTAATGTTTTGAAGCACATTCATTTAATGTGCAGATTACTAGTTGCAGTTGGTGCTCTACTGTCCTGAATCTGGTATAAGTACACAGCAGATGGTGAATTAATCTATGGAGAGAGTCTAGGATAAATATGAAAGCAAAGCCAAAATGATGCCTTATTTGGGCAATGATAATTTGAGCAAAGATAACATGAAGAGAGTCAAGGAAACTGGTAAGCTAAACTTGAGTCCTGGAGGTGGTAAGTATAGTGCCTGCACTCTGTTGCAGTTCAGAGTCATCTGAATTGTGATGTCAGCACACTCATGGTAAAACAGTGATCACATGAATGATGGCAAAAGTGTTTCCTCCTTTTCAGGTCACTCTACGTTGGTGGGAGACAGCAGGAGCGTTGAAAATGTAGCAGCAGGGAAGCACCTGGGGAGTGGAAGGTCATCAGGGTTCATCTGAGGAAAAATGAGTACTGTAGGGAGGGGGTAAAGGAAGTGTTGTGGGCGAGGGGTTTGGACTTCCAGCAAGCGTGCGTGAGCGTGTTAGATAGGAGTGAATGGAGACAAATGGTATTTGGGACCTGACGATCTGTTGGAGTGTGAGCAGGGTAATATTTAGTGAAGGGATTCAGGGAAACCGGTTATTTTATATAACCGGACTTGAGTCCTGCAAATGGGAAGTACAATGCCTGCACTCTAAAGGAGGGGTTTGGGATATTGGCAGTTTGGAGAGATATATTGTGTATTTTTATTTGTATATACTTCTAAACTGTTGTATTCTGGGCACCTCTGCAAAAACAGTGATTATGTGTGAGTGAGGTGAAAGTGTTGAATGATGATGAAAGTATTTTCTTTTTGGGGATTTTCTTTCTCTTTGGGTCGCCCTGCCTCGGTGGGGGACGGCCGACTTGTTGAAAGAAAAAAAAAGCTCCAATTCCTTGGATATAGTGAGAAGAGGCAACTGAGAACACTTTTCTGAGACAGAGCCAAGTAGATGATAATTTCACACAAAGATGACAAGAGAGCTGTTGCAGACAAGATAATGAACAAAAAGCACAATACCTTGGCTGGAACAAAACACAAATAGTCCAAGACAAAGCAAAATGTCATTGTAATCTTCTCTCTTCTGTGTGGGTTATCTGTGTTGTATTCAGACAAGATAATGGAGTTCCTGAGGAGTTCTATAACACCCTAGAAAGACACTTACCCTAGCCTTTCCTCTCTTTTTGGGTCCCCAGTAACGCTCAATAGGTTCTAGATACCGCTCAGGAGGGGGGTCCATTCCTATTAACCCTTTCTGAAACTCAAAATGTAAGCTGTTAAACAGTTTCAGTACTCAGGGCAATAGGTCAAAATAAAAAATACTGGGTAACAAGTGATCTGCTTACATGCTCACTGAGCCCTTGAAATCCTCCTTAAAGCAACATGTGCACATGTTTTCAGCTATCCAGGTTAATAGAATGTAACTTGTTTTTCTCAGCAGATAGCCTAGACACAAAAGATGGGGTCACTTGTGATCTACCTTTCCAACATATTGTACTGTTATAATTACCAACCAGCAGTCTGACGAAGTATTAAGCTTACTGGGCTCAAAAATTTATTTAAATTGAATATTTGGCACAGTCTAACCACTTTTTAGGTAAATAATTACACCAAACCTAAATTTTCTACAATTTCCAGGTTTTTCAGAAACTGACTGACAGTTGAACACTTCATGCTACTCAAAAGTATGTCATGTTTGTTACTAATAAAAAGGTGATATAGTTAAATAAACTTTTGATTACATTTTTTTATCTAGATTTCTTAAAATTTTATATCTGAAATATCCTGAGCAGATCATTATTTTGAGAGAAATTAAACATACCTTTCCTCTCTCTAATGTTCGATAGATAGTAGTTTTTGATATGTGGCCAAATTCTGGAAAAGACTGCAAGAAGCGTGTGCGAATTTCATCGACTGATATGTTGTCTCTTTCTTGAGACATTTCAAACAGATGGAATTCTTGGGCAGTTGTAAGGCGACGCTTGCGGCCTGTAGCTGTCTTCTTGTGTATTCGGTGCTCCTTCTTAAAAACTTGTACTACAGACATAACTGTTGATTGTGGCAATCCCATGTAGCGTGCAACCTGGAAACATGCAATGTGTTGTTCTGTACTTATTTCACATGAACAATATTTTATATACAAAAGTATATAATAGGATATAACTTTGCACTGCTTAAGAGGTCATTGTCTGATCAATTGCAAATGAAAATATACAACAGGTTAGGCTTCAGGCTACTGCTGTAAAGTGAAAATTGCTGTAAAGTGAGACATAAGCCTTTTTTCATTTTCAAATGCACATAAAAGCCTGTAACATGTTTACACTATCATATATTAAGCGAGCAATAGAGCTAGGCCTAAAAAATGCACATAGAGTACACACATTACTTAAAATATTTTTGTTCTTAGCTTATAGTGAGTATATTTACTGTAGGAAGTCCTGAATAAATGAAGAATAGGTATAATTGAAAACTGCTGTACAGTGAAGCACTGTAGAGTGGGGCCCTCCTGTACATCAACAGATAATGAATCTGAACCCAATGAACATTACAATCCTCTTAGTGCATGAGCTTAACATAACTTGGTTCACATCCCAAATTCACAAACCTCTCTAGATGTTTTCTTTTCATTAAATACAAGGTCAATAATCATTTCTCTATGGGATGGGGAAAGTCTTCTACGCTGTACTTTGCACTTCTTTTTCTTGTCCATGATGTTCTCCTCTTCATCCTCAACATTTGTGTGGAAGAACTTGGTTGGGGCACCACTAGAACAAGCTGGAGGGTTGCCATCAACTGAGACTTCAGTGGGGGTAGGCTGCACCTGAGGAGCTTCTAGTGTGGGCTCTGACTGAGGTGCTTCAACTAGGGGCTGAGGATCTGGAGGCTGAAAAAATCACCAATAAAGGTAACTAGTTAAAACAAAATGTGTTTATCAAGTTAAAAAACATATCCTAATCATTTTCCTTTGACTGCATGTTTATGAGTAGTTATAGGAGCAAACACAAATACAGGAAATTGTGCAAGTTTATAAATGAGTGTACTAATAGCTGACATAATGTGTTACAGAAAAATAATTCACCTTAACCTTTTCACTGTTGCAACACATGAATTAGCCCTTTTATTGTCACAGCACCTGAAATTAAGTCCCATCAGTGTTGCACATTTAAAAAAATCTGCTAAAATGGTAGAGAATGTTTTTCTACGGGCCTGGCCCAGACAAGCTGCAGAAGTAGGAAATCTCTTGAAGCCTTTCAAAGGTATATCAAAGGAGTATCCAATTTTAGTGAAACCTGTGAATTTTTATTAGGTATAGGATGAACAATACAGTATAATTCAATGAGTGCATTGTTGCTTTTAGTCGAACATATTTCACTACATCATAGCATCTATAAAATACAACAAAAATTACATAAAATTACTTTAGAAAGATTGGTAATTACAGTATGGTATCCTGACTATCCATTTAGTCTTACATTAGTACTTTTATTGTTAGCCATTACTTCTGTTCATACCTTATTTATGTATACATCCCTTTAGCACAGTGTAATAACTAACAAAACTTTCTGAACTTTGATGATGGAAAGCCATTTTATAAACAGCTGGAAAAAATGCCATTCAGTAAACTCATCTTTTTTTTTTTACAAACATTACCCATATGGATAGAGATAATGACCCCTGGTTGTTGAGGCTGTGGTGGTGGTGGCTGTGCCTCTGGCAGCCCATTTGTGAAGTCATCGTGAGGGACGGCATTGGCCATAGTTGTGATATCTTGTGACATAGTGGGTTGCACTGTGCTGGCCACACCTGCAGGTCCTAGAGTTCCCAGGTCACTACTGGGAACAGGATTGGCAACAGGATTACCGACCACTGGGGCAGATGGGGAGCCTGGCCCAGCAATCCAAAAAGGTGTAAATGCCTGAGACGTGGGTGGCTCGCCATTTGAAGACATTATGTCCCTGAAATTAAACAAAATTGAAAAAATAACTGCTTCAGAAAATATGTGGTGCTCAACATATTACACAAATTACCTATAATTAGCTGCTTAAATATTTCTTAAATTCATTAGCATGATAATAATAAAAGTATAGAGTATTAGTACAGTACTACAGCATAAAGAAAACTCTACTGGAGCTAAATTTCACGTATCGAACTTCTACACAGATTCCATAAGTAGTCTATAGGATGTAACCTCTTTCACTAATTGCACATAAAAGTGTGAGTTCGTAGGTGTGTTTAAAGAATCAAATATCATTAAAGGTCATCTTACACAGTACCGGGGATTTTAACTTAAGTAGTTCTCAGATGCATTCAGTCATAACCTCCTCAATAAAGATGAACTATGAGACACTTGCACAATGTATGGAAACTTATTTTGGAAACATTTCACTAGGAGCTTCATCAACCCAATACAGGGTAAGGTAAAACATGTAAATTGAGTATGTAGCAGGGCCATGCTTATACGGCAGGTGAGGTTCCAGGCTACTGCCGTAAAGCGAGCCATAAAGCAAATCACCCTTTTTTTCACTTTTAAACGCATAAAAAACAGAACATTCATTAATTACCTTAAAATATTTGTAGTCTTAATAATGTAGGATGAGAGGTGAGCAGTATTTATTTTAATACCATTGCATTAAACCAGGCTGCCCAGTTCATGTGGCATTTGTAGCTGAGTGGAGAAGAGCGTCACTTGGAAACCATGCCAGTCTTCCTATCATATTCTTTTCCCTTCATTTTCACACCGTTGTTTCAATAAAACAAATTACTTAGAATAGTGAATGTACTTGATAATTTTAGGTCAGATTACATTGCGTTCTATTATTCTATCTTAATTTCATAAAACTAATACCACTTGAACTTTTTATAACTTGTCAATTACAATTTTTTACCTTGTTAATGAATAATCTTGTCTCTTTTAACTTTTATCATATTAATTATGTATTTTAACCAATATTTTATACTAGAGTCCATTAAAAAATATATACCTTTGCTCTTATGTTTGCCCGAAATTCTATACATCCTTTGAGCTTTCAAATTATTGTGTATTGTTGTATAATGATTTTAAAATAAAAATTATTATTATTATTATTTGCTATTCTCATTTCGTTATGTTTGTTCTCATTTATTCTCATTTCGTGGTTCGTATGCTGGATTGCGTGCAGCCAGCAGTAACAGCCTGGTTGATCAGGCCCTGATCCTCCATGAGGCCTGGTCACAGACCGGGCCGCGGGGGCGTTGAACCCCGGAACTCTCTCCTGGTATAATACAGATCAGGGTAACCATACAAAGTGCATCTAATTTGATAATTAAAAAATTATATAAACAGCATTTCTGGCAAGTAAATGCCTCGTCCCTGATATCACAGAATCTTGTGTTTGTCCAAAAGTTTATTACTGATAATTTGTATAAAAAAAAAACTCACCCCAGTCTGAAATATGTAACTCATTGCTTTACAATTAATAATCTATTTCACAGCTTTAATTAAGAATTTATATAACGTTTTATCCCATAAAAGATGAAAAATGAAGCGTCAGGCGCGAGTATGAGAACACGCAGTTGTGTTGTATTTTCATATGATGTGGAGCAGTTTTCTATTGCTTCGTGTGTATTGTGTTGAAGCCCAGGCGGCAGCTACAGCCCCAGGCAAACCTCTCATACCTTACCATTTTTCCCCCGTACTCCGAATCACATTATCCAAAACTATTTATTAAAGGAGAGTAATATTAACGATACGTATATTAAACAAAAAATATTCCACAGGCAGGAATATTAGTTTTTAAGTCAAAAAATATTAGGACAAAATTTGAGAGGTGGTTACTACTGTCCCTGAGTCTACCCGCTGCCAGTTGTCCCAAGGACTGTGTTCTGCTGCTGACCCAGACTTGTTCTTCATATTGTAGTTGTTTTATAAGGTACATGCCTATGATGAGAATACTTTTTTACTTGCTCACTTCCTCGTTATCTAACATTTATATGCAAGAATCTTAGCCATTATTCAACTGGGCTTCTATATAACAAATTTGTTGGTCGATGACAAATAATAATAATAATAATAACTTTAAAATGTACATATTGAAATGCCTAGGCATTTCGGACAATAAAATAATGTAGATCTGACATTAATAACAATATTTAAGGCTTTTCTGGGTTATCCTAGGTAATTTACATATAGTACGTTACTTTGTAGGATAACGGTAATCACCTAAACTTGTGTATCTAAATAAACTTAACAGAAAAAAATTACAATTATGAGACAGAATATTTTGGTAATCATAAAATGTCACTTTCGTGCATCTGCGATTATACGCAATTCAAAATACATTTACTTATGGGTATTTTAACTACACCTGTATATGTCACAAATGAACAAAAGTGACCTACTATTTCTTACTATTTAAAAGGTAATAAGTAAGTTTATTTAGGCACAGGTACACATAAGTACATTTATCATAGTGTAAATTACCTAGGATATCAAAAAAAAAAAAAAAAAGCCAGTGACATTGGGGTCAAAGTCAAAGGCCCAATGTAAGTAAGTCACTAACATTTTCAGGTTATCCTAGGTAATTTACACCATGTATGATAACTGTACTTACGTGTACCTGTACCTAAACAAACTTACTAAAGTCATCGTATAGGAATGGGATGCAGCGTCTGTCTGTATCTCGCACCGAATATTTGGGGGGTCCTTCTGAGCTGCCTCTCCAACACCCCTCCCTTCTACCTCTCCCTAATTTCTCCCTCTCCTCCCCCACTCTTATCCCTCCCATTCTCCCAGCTAATACACTACAAGGAATACTACAGATTTTAATGTTTCTAGCAAAACTACAATATTTATTAAAACGAGACGAAATTATGTGACAATTTTCAAAAAGTAGTCAGGAGTATGAATGAAAACTTACGCTAGAGTGGGAAGTAGTGGAGGTTTTCAGTTATCATCAATACTCACACGGAGGTAAAATCTGTTCATTTCGTACAGAAGCAAGCAGATCGAAACAAAGGGAATGAAGATATAAGAAATAATCTGGGATAAACTTAAACTACTTAGCTATATTACACCATTCTATGATGCAAGTGTGTACATTTTGGTAAGAATAATTGGGCGTCTTGTGCGATAAAGAGGCGAGAGAGAGGTAGAGAGAATAAGCTTGAAGCAGCTGCCATCTCTTCAAGGCTTCGGACGGCAGCCATATTGGATCGGCCGCCCTGCCGACTGAAGCTAAGAGACACTGGGACGATAGGAATTGAGAATGTCAAATGAAGAAAAACTAAAATTATACAAATTCTGCGGTATATTTGATAGTGGTTCCGACTCCAACCAAATCTCTACAAATGACACTAAGTAATTCCGGCTTTTCTATGGCCTGGTAACTCATAAAATTAGAAAAAAACATCAAAATAAGAGACGGTGAAGCCCGGCTCGCGCTGATCACTACGTCCTTTTGCTTTTCACTTATTTTTCACTATAATATGTAACATTCGTATTGATACCCGGGAAAAGAGCGGGAGCGTGGCGGGAGAGAGACACGTGCTGGAGGTGGAGACTACTCACGGCTGCGTGTAGTGGTGGTGATGGTGGAGATGATAGTGATGGTGTAGTGGTGGTGATGGTAGTGGTGGTAGAGGCAAGCTGAGGAGCAGCAGCAGCAGCAGCACAGACTAGCTGCCTCCCGCCCGCCCCTGCCTCACCACTACGCCCTCTTCCGCCCGCACGCCCGCACTTGTCCTCCACAAGTCCCATGATGTTGTCACGCCCACATTTCCACATATATACTATGACCACACCTGTACCTCCATGGCTACACCTGACCACCCATATACATTACGCCCACATCTGTCTCACCCTTGTCCTACCACGCTCAAGCCTGTATCAACCTTTTCCCGCAACGCCCACAACTACCACATATAAGCACCACCACGCCCACACTTGTACCACCCATATATACCACCACGCCCACACCTGTCCAGCTCGTACCACGCCCACACATGTACCACCCATCCGTATCTCCTTTTGCTGACAATGCCAGAATTTGCATGCCAGTCATCCAACGAGAACACTGCAAATCTCCAAGCGGATATAAACCAAGTCTTCAAATGGGCTTCAGAAAACAATAAGTTCAATGAGGACAAATTTCAATTACTCCGCTATGGAAAACTTGAAATATAAACTGGACAGGAGCATGAAACAAATTCTAACTACACAAAAGAGCGAAAAACTACTGTGTAGGACCTTGGTGTGATAATATCAGAGAATCTCACTTATAAAGATCACAACAATGTCTCATGTCTGCTAGGAAAATGATAGGATGAATAATGAGAATCTTCAAAACAAGGGATGCCAAGCCAATGATCCTCTTTAAATCACTAGTTCTCTCTAGGCTGGAGTACTGCTATACAATAACGACCTCTTTCAAGGCAGGCGAAATTGCAGATCTGAAGAATATACAGAGAACTTTCACGGCACGTATAAATACAATAAAGCACCTTAATTACTAGGAACGTTTGAAGTCCCTTGACTTGTACTTCTTGGAATGCAGGTGAGAAAGGTGTATCATAATTTACATTAGTAGGACTAGTCCCAAATCTGTACACGGAAATCACTCCCTACGAAAGCAAAAGATTCGGCAGGTGGTGCAACATCCCCCCCCCCCCATGAAAAGCAGGGGTGCCATGAATATATTAAAAGATAACACAATAAGTGTCAGGGGCCCAAGACCGTTCAACTGCCTCCCAGCATACATAAAGAGGATTACTAATAGATCCCTAGCTAGCTGCCTTCAAAAGGGAGTTGGACGGGGACCTAAAGTTAGTACCTGACCAGCCGGGCTGTGGTTCGTCCATTGGATTATGTGCGGCCAGCACTAACACCCTGGTTGATCAGACCCTGATCCACCGCGAGGCCTGGTCACGGACCAGGACGCAGGGACATTGATCCCCAAAACGTCCTCCAGGTATACCCAGCCTGTACCAGGCCCACACCTGTACCATTCAGCCTATACCACGCCCACATCTGTACTTCCCACATGTACTACATCAACATCTGTCTCATTCATGTACCGCGTCCACACCTGTATTATTACAATAGCTTTTATCAAGGATATATTCACTTTTCTGGTTCTTAATGCTCCTACAGAAAATACGTTACTTGTTAAGTGGATGAATTATTACAATCTGAAGTTTTACGACACAAAAGTTTTAAATTTCAACATACTTTACTTTGCTCAGCACTCCTATATACTGTCAAATAATTTACCTTTTTTACCACAACCTCGTTCTAATAAAATTATTCTAGAATATAAGTGGTAAAATAATTGCCTTACTTCTGTAGTGTAGCAGGATGCTGAATACAAGTTACCATTCAAGGGAGTGCCTTGATCCCAGTGAAAGGCTTTTGATCCGAGGAACTGGAGCTATCCTCTTGGGACAAACCTAATAACTTCCCAACACCTTTCAGGGAAGGTGTCTCGATGGTAAAGGAATTTCGATTTAAAGTTTTGGAGCCATTTTTCCCTTCAGATCAAGACAGTTTCCCATTCCCAAGACGTTGTATGACACCTAAGAGTTTAGCGTTTCCCCGATAAATATAATACCAGCCTCGCAAAGGCTACGACGTAAGTCTCTAATATAAGCTAGTGTGTGAGGTTATAAACAGACTAGAAAACAAATCTATAAATACAGGTTAGCAAGTAAGCCTATAAATAATAGGCAGCAAATAAATACAATAAGCTATAAGTGAGCTTATAAAAAATATAAACAAAAATATAAACAAAAGCCATAAGATTGAGTCTGTACAAAGCACAGCTTCCGGCATGATAGTGGCTTTCTTTGTTCCAGTCATGATATGTAAACACACATTGTAACCTTAGCAAAGAAATAAAAATTTTTTTTTTAAAGAATCTCACACATTTTTCCGCATTTAATTTGGAATGCATGTTTCATTTAAACGTGTAATAATAATAATATCTTAATTTACTACATGTATACAGACCATAGGTGACATCAGTGACATACTACTATATAGAAAATCAAACCATACCCCGGCTGGGATTGAACCCGCGGTCATAGTCTCAAAACTCCAGCCCGTCGCGTTAGCCACTAGACCAGCTAGCCACAATAAGTGGCTAACGCGACGGGCTGGAGTTTTGAGACTCTATGACCGCGGTTCAATCCCAGCCGGGGGTATGGTTTGTTTGCAATCGTGTCATTACGATTTCTTAAGTCATATAGAAAGTCCCTTGTTATGCTCAGCATTTCGGGCAAATTAGGTCAGTGTCCCAGGATGCGACCCACACCAGTCCACTAACACCCAGGTACCCATTTTACTAATGGGGAACACAGACAACAGGTGGAAAGTAACACGCCCAATGTTTCTACTCTGGCTGGGAATCGAATTCAGGCCCTCGCCGTATGAAGTGAGAGCGTTAGCCACCAAGCCACCAGATTACTTACTGAGCTCCTCCTTGAAGACAGTTAGGGGTTTGTTGGTAATTCCCCGTTCTGCAAGAAGAAAGGGTATCGAAAAGTTGTGGTTCTTTTACACTTCTTAAGTTATTCACATTATTTATCAAGCTTCTGCTCCTCAAAGGATGTATCCCGTGCCGTCTGGAAAAGCCTCTTGCTTTCAAATGTAGTGATTTCGTGAGCAGGTTTGGGACAAATTCCTTTAGAATCTTCCATGTGCAGATTATGATGCATCTTTCTCGTATACGTTCTAAGGAGTACAATTTGAGGGACTTTCAAATGATTCCAGTAACTGAAGTGCTTGACTCAGTTTATATGAGCCTTGAAAGCTCTCTGTGCATTCTCCCGTAGCTCGACCGCTAGGGCACTCAGCTCACACACTGAGGTCCGGAGATCGAATCCCCGGTACGTGTTTCCTTAAGACACCTGTCGTCCATGTTCACCCATCAGTATAAAATAGGTACCTGAGTGTTCAGTCGGCTGATGTAGGTCGCATCCTGATGAAAAAACTAACCTAATTAACGGGAAATGCTCAGTATAACAAGCAACTTTCGATATAGTCGTATGTCATTGACGTCAAGCTAGGCCTGTATACCTTTGTACATGTATCCGTAGAAATAAAGATATTACTTCGCCCGCCTTGAAGAGGAGGGGGGCATTAGTACGATATAAAATTTAGTTCGGATTTTTAACCCGGAGGGTTAACCATCCAATAAAGCCAGTGAGTCATCGGAGACTATGTCTTATTTCTATTGGAGGTAATTTAATCTCATCCCTCAGGATGCGACCCACAAAAGTCGGCTAACATCCAGGTACCTATTTACTACTAGGTGACTAGGAGCAACAGGTGTAAGGAAATATGCCCATTACACCTGTGCTAGGGATTAATCCTGCTTCCTCAGTGAGAGCCGAGGACTACCAACGAAATCACAAGCAATGTTCCAGCCTAGAGAAATTGAGTAACCTTGAGAGTATGGTCACCGCCGTAGCATCTTTGAAAATTCTAGTTTTCCAACCTAGCATTTTTTGCATTTGCGATAAAACAGCGTTGCTGTAAGGACGAGTATAAATATTACGAGGCAAGATTTGATCGCTGTGCTATCAGAAAGGTATTCCCCACATCCCATAATCCTTGTACCTCAATATAAGCAAGAGGCATATAACTTACTTACTTACTTACTGGTGCAGCCAAGGGAGGGGGGGGTAAAGCCCCCCAGATGATAATACTCTTTCTTTATTTTTTCCAGTTAATGGCTAATTTTCCTTTTATTATATTGACCAGCAACCACGAAAGCAAAATAGGTTAAGTTATTTTAAGTTATATTTAAGTGTCAGGGGCCCGAGACTGTTCAACTGCCTCCCAGCACACATAAGGGGGATTACCAACAGACCCCTGGCAGTCTTCAAGCTGGCACTGGACAAGCACCTAAAGTCAGTTCCTGATCAGCCGGGCTGTGGCTCGTACGTTGGTTTGCGTGCAGCCAGCAGCAACAGCCTGGTTGATCAGGCGCTGATCCACCAGGAGGCCTGGTCACAGACCGGGCCGCGGGGGCGTTGACCCCCGAAACTCTCTCCAGGTAAACATACTGAAAAAGTTTTTAAAAACGATTGGTTTTAATTTTTCAGCATCATATTTTTTTTTAGTTCCTACCAGATTGAAATCCTGTCTTAAGCCTCCCTCAGAATAAAATCCTAACTGTGCCACTGCGCTTAAATCTTCCAGAAGCAGAGCGGCAGCTTGACTTCCTCAAGAAACCTAAGAGCTTTTCTTACAATCATGGGGGAGAGCTAAATCCGTAGGACGTTACAGCGCCTGGGGAAAAGGAAGGCAAATAGGTTTGATTCAATGAATGGGAGCACAGGTCCAAGTTCACCTAGAGATATTGCTCTGCCACACTTCTGAGAGGTCAATAACCCAATGATAAGCAATTTCTAGTCTTACGAACTTTAGCTCAACACACTAAATAGCCCTATTTAATTACAGTATCCCCCAATCAGAATTCTTTCATGTTTTTTCTTCCTCCAAGGCTTCAAATTTGCATCACAGGTATATTCTATGATGAGGAACGATCGAAATATTACTAGAGGTGCTAGATTTTTTTTAATGTTCATCTAAAACTCATGGGCCTCTTGAAATTGTCGATATCCAGCTCCTGGACCACTTTGGAAGGATATTACAATAATTATTGGGAAGAACTAAACCCATAGGGATCATGTAGAGCATGGGGAGCAGGAGGAAAGTTGGGTAGATTCAAGAAAGAATAAGTTCACTTCCTTGGATCAAGAGCTCCCCACCTGACTCAAGGCACAGCCACTGAGGTGGATATCGACAAGTCCAAGACTCTTTTGAGGTACTAAAGTAGTCTAGTACCTCAGCTTGACTTCTCAAAAGTGCAAAGGTTGGTAAATAAGATAATTTAGGTACAGGTACACTTAAGTACAATTATCATACATAGTGTACATTACCTAGGATAACCCAAAGAGTCTAAGTTACTTTATTATTATTAAATATTAGCCGGTATTCTCCCGGCCCGGGCCTTTTCCAAGTGGTGGCCCGGCCGAGTCTAAGTTACTATTTCCACTGGGGTCTGTTCAGGACAAGCAAATTAATGTACCAAAAAAAATGGCACATTCTGAAAAAAAATAAAATTTGCACCTAAAAATTATTATAATAAAAAAGAAGCGCTAAGCCACAAAGGCTATGCAGCTTGCACCTAAAAAGTTTAATATAATTTCGAAGGTTGCGTTATAGCTGGTAGGCCTCTTAATGGAGGTGAGCTGCAACTATAATTAAGGGTTTAGATGCAGCTACTAGTCCTCTTGTGTTAGTCTTCATACAGTGAATTATATGACTTCTCTTGGATCGCTAAGCAAGTCTGGTTATTATTATTATGTTTAATATACTGACCATTATAAGTTTATCTCACAATAAATCAAACAACACTCACGTGTACCATAAATCCCACTATACAAGAGGGATGGTACAGTGGAACTCTCCTCTCCAACACGATTCTCTTACACCATCTATCACTATTTCCTTTTTAAATGATGAAGGGAGATGCTGGAACTTAAACAAGTCTAGGAGAGAGAGAGAGTTGTAACACATACATCCCCCACAACTGTCAGATACACACTAAACACATGCTAGTCAACACAGCTGATCACTGGCCACGCCCACCTCGCTGCCTCATTGGTTAACACTACAACACACCTAACTTATTACTACTATTATTACTATTACTATTAGTGTTAGTAGTGGACAAGCGCTAAATCCGTAAGGGCCATACCGCGCCTCGGGAAGGGGGGGGGGGCACTAGCAGGCAATCTGGTTTGATATGAGGAAGGGGAGAGCAGTTACAATTACTCGGATCAGGACCCCAATGGAAATAAGTAACTTTGATTTTTTAGGTTATCCTGAGTAATTTACATTATGTATGATGATTGTACTTCTGTATAGCTGTGCCTAAATAAACTTACACCAGCATCAAGGTACTTCCCCCCTTGAAGGGGAGCTTAATATCGCTGATTTCCTCTACCTTATTATTGATTTACTTTTTTTCACTATGCTTAATCATGTGTTTTAATAAGGTTGTGATCGTAATGACAATGAATGATGGTTCATTCATGATGGGAAGTAATTCAAAGATCACGTTCACGGAGTTATTTATTTACACAAGTGAAATAACTTTAGTATGAAACCTTAAAAATAAATACCTAGTTTAAATAATTTTATGTTGAATTTTACTACTATTACTACTATTAGTGCTACTGCTAAGACTATACTATGCTGCTGCTGCTGTATAACCTTTTCGCCTAATTTGATATTATTAGTAGTAGTTAGTGATATTATTAATAGTAGTAGTAATACTACTACTACTATTGCTACTACCACTACCAGTTCTGCTACTACCACCACTACTAGTGTTACTACCGGTTCTAGTGTTACTACTACCACTAATAGTGCTACTACTACCACTAATAGTGTTACTACTACCACTAATAGTGCTACTACCACTAATAGTGCTACTACCACTACTAGTGTTACTACAGCTATTACTATTAGTATTATTGCTACCTGCTAATACTACTACTAGTACTAATTACTACTACACTCACAGAAAAGCACTGACCTTGCAGGGGTCGTACAGTACCAGAGGAATAGGTGCGATGTAAGGATGACAGTAACTCCTTGGATCAAGAGCCTTTTGGCATCAAGACAACCCCCACCACTTGCAGCGTTAGGGCACGTGAGGAAAGTAACTGGAGGTACCCTCCTCTTCCTCTGATCAACCCTTGTTACCCCTCATCCCCTTGTGTTCCCAATCAGTTTGATCCTCATTCGGGTTTAGGTCCAGCTCAATTATTATTATTATAATTAAAAAGAAGCGCTAAGCCACAAGGGCTATACAGCGAGGTCAAGCTCAAACTTTTGGATCAAGAGCCTTAATTGGCATCAAAATATTATAATATAGCAACCTATAAAAATCGTATATACGTAGTATAAATTATTCAAAAAGCACTAAATCTGTGTGTATTATTATTAAATCAAAACTAAGCACTAAACCCACCTGGGTCATACAGCACTGGTGTGAATTGCTGTACAATTCTGAGCACTAAACCTGTAAGGGTCACAGCAACTTAGGAATGGGAGGTAATTATCTGATCCAAGGGAGGGGAGGATAGTTCCAACTCTTAATAGCTTCTCAAGGCATCCCATCTTGAAGGATATGTTGTAGTATTTAGTGGGAAGCAATTAACTTGTAAAGGTCATACATTATTATATTAAGGAGGAAAGTACTAAACCTATAGGGGTTATCACAGTGAATGGCACAAATCAGTAGTTTTAATATTTGAAGAGCATTTTAACCATATATATTGTTCTATCCTCTTGGCAATAATAAACAAATTGGCATACATTATATACAAACTCTCCCAGGCAGGCAAGGAATAGAAACAAGAAAATGAAGACAAAATTAACATAGCAAAAACTGCTGGTATAAATCCTCACATTTTTCTTTTTTAACATATCAGCCGTTTCCCACCGAGGCAGTGTGACCCAAAGGAAAAGAAAAAACTTTCATCATTAAACACTTTCACCATCACTCATACATAATCACTGTCTTTGCAGAGGCACTCAGATATGACAGCTTAGACATCCCTCCAAACTGCCAATATCCCAAATCCCTCCTTTAAAGTGCAGGCATTGTACTTCCCATTTCCAGGACTAAAGTCCAGCTAACCGGTTTCCCTGAATCCCTTCACAAAATATTACCCTGCTCACACTCCACCTCCCCTCAAGGAAGGTTCCTTGATGTTGGTGAGGGGCTCTTGATTTAGGAAATTGGATCTGTGCTCGTTCCCCGAATTAAGCCTGAATGCCTTCCACATCCCCCCCCCATGCGCTGTATAATCCTCCGGGTTTAGCGCTTCCCCTTGATTATAATAATAATAATGCTCACACTCCAACAGCTCATCAGGTCCCAAAAACCATTTGTCTCCAGTCACTCCTATTTAACATGCTCACACAAGCTTGCTGGAAGTCCAAGCCCCCCCTTAATCCAACCTTTTCAGGGATGACCCCTACCCTTCCTTCCTTCCCCTACAGATTTATATGCTCTCCAAGTCACTCTACTTTGTTCCATTCTCTATATATGACCAACCCACCTCAACGGCCCCTCTTCAGTCCTCTGATTAATACTTTTAGTAACTCCACACCTCATCCTAATTTCCACACTATGAATTCTCTGCATAATATTTACACCACACACTGCCCTTAGACAGGACATCCCCACTGCCTCCAGCTGCCTCCTCGCTTCAGCATTTACAACCCATGCTTCACACCCGTAAGTGTTTTGGTACCACTGTACTCTTGTACATTCCCTTCTTTGCCTCCATGGATAACATTTTTTGTCTCCACAAACACCTCAATGCACCACTCGCCTTTTTTCCTTCATCAATTCTATGGTTAACCTCATCCTTCATAAACCCATCTGCTGACAAGTCAACTCCCAAATATGTGAAAACACTCGCTTCTTCCATATTCCCTTCCTCTAATGTGATATCCAGTTTTTCTTTACCTAACTCATTTGATACCCTCATCACCTTACTCTTATCTTTGTTCACTTTCAGCTTTCTTCCTTTACACAGCATCCCAAACTCATCCACCAACCTTTGCAACTTCTCTTTAGAATCTCCCAAAAGCACAGTATCATTGGCAAAAAGTAACTGTCAACTCCCATTTTTGCATTTGATTTTTCATAATCCCACCCCACTCCCCAATACCCAAGCATTTACCTCTTTTATAACCCCATCTTTAAATATAGGTTAGCATGCTCTACGTGGAAAAGGAGTGCTGATATCAGGATAAAACTGTAAAGGACGAGTTCATGTGCGAAAGGAGGAAATTAATGTTGGTACAATAAGTAAAAACATAAAATACAAATAATTCTTTATTCAAGATCAGAAATTTTAATGGACAATGACACTCAAGATTCATCCACAATCATACCAGATCATCTAATAATCTTATACAAGTCATGTGAAATGAAGCAATCTACATGGTTCAATATAAATATATGGACAAACTGTGCCAACAAAATATATTAGACCCTCATTAATACAATGAAGTACATGTACAAAATATTGAATTTCACAAAACAATTTCACCTCTTGATTAATTACCAGTTGACGAGTAGTAGTTTATAAACTTATGATTTATTGAAGTACATAGATTACATGCAAATATTTTAATCTAAAAATTTAGCACCAATTTCAAATATTTTACCATTTTAGGTAAATGCTCTTTTGTAATCAAATATTATTACACATTTTTAATTGTTCTATTCATTTCTATAAAAAAAAATTCAGAATTTTTAATTTGAGAAGGTATATTTTGTATGAACCCTCTAAGCACAAAAAAAAAAACGTACATAGTCATTGAAAATTATTCAGAGTATTTTAAATTTGTTAATCTATTTTACATGTAATGGTTATTACTGTAAAAACCCCATGCACAAAACATAATCCACAAAATCATACCCTATTAAACTAAAACTCACAGTGGATAAAAAGCAATAGCAAAGCTATTTTGTTTTTCAAAATTAACACACTACTTAATTTGATACCTGCATAAACATTCCCATCCTTTTCCCTTAGAAATAATCTAACCAGCTACATTTTTATTATAAAATTCTGTTTTTAAATTTTATAGAAATTCCTTGTATAGTTGATCTTAATCTTCCACCAGGTATTACAACTAATTGAATTGAGAACCCTATCTTATAAATACTAAAATTAATTCCTGGATTAATGTGCTCATTTCTAATAATTGTTATGTTAGGGGGGCTTGCAGTTAAAAGAACACACACCAAAATTTTAGTAAAAAGAAAAAAAATAATAATTGTACATTCTATCTTCTTGTCAAAATTAACTTTTGAAGACAATGACTGTACATATAACATAAGCAAATGATAAAACTCACTATGAGAGAAATTTAAAACAAGGTAAAAGAGCATGGAGACAATATATACACTGTATTTTTACCTTCCATTTTTTTCTCAATGTGAGCCTGCCTGTGTACCACTGGAGCAGTAATTATTATACTTTGTGTTGGTAATAAAGTAATGGGTTACAGGTATATGCCATATAGATAAGAAAAATTGGATTCATATTCAGATATATGGAAAATACTGTCTACATAACTTATTACTGTCGTATTATAACATAACGTTTATAAATAAATTGTGCACTTCTTACCAAAAATGATCATGGGCATTAAAAGGAAGTAAAAACTTAGTTAGTACCTTCCTCTAATCGTGTATTGGATCTCTAGGTTACAGTAACCATTTATACCGCATGTACTTATGAAAACTAATGTGAAACTCTTCAACCATTCCATGTTTGTGTGGCACTAACCTATTTTGGGTTCTTAATCTTGCCATAATATTTTGCCAAATTATAAAATGATGCAAGTGAAAGTGGTTAATTTAAATTGTGTATAGGTCCTTTCTTGGTAAATTAAGAACTCTGTAGTCATCTATTAAGTTTTGTAATAAAACACTTGCTAGAATTTTTAAGTGAAAATATACTTGGTTCAACCTTTTCCCTGTGAGAGAAAAGTATGAAACAATTGTAGAAATTTTAAAGATTTGCCATATTGAGATTTTTTTAACTCGAGTTAACATGATTTTACTCTAAGGATAATTTTAAATCGTAATTATATTAATTCGAAAACTGACTATTCATGTTACTTAAAGCTGAAGTATAAACATTTTCATTAGTGGTTATTTAACTAGAAAGATATCTGAAATTGCCGGAAGGTACTATTATATAAAAATAATAGACCATATTTAATTAAAAACCATGCCACTCTTTAATTATAAAATGAAAGGACAAAAAATCTAGTTTTTTTTTTTTGAATTTTAATGGCATTCAAAGAGGTGCTTCCCAATATTGAAACACCTTGATATATGATATCCTTTCCAGAGATTCTTTTTTCACTCTATGAGTTTCTTGGCTTTGAAGAACTTGCGGAGGTAGAGAACCTGCCAGGTTGCCAGACCAATGAGGCAGCACAGTGAAAACAGAGACAAGTACAACACTCGGGAGTTAGTGGACTCTGAAAAAGTAAATATTATTCTGAAACTGCTCACATATAAGTAGTAAAGATGTACATATATAGGCACAAGTACAGGAGGGCCCAGCTTTAAGGCGTTTCGGTAATACAGACATTTCAAATTATGACCAAAATTCGTTATACAGCCTTCCCCCCAATCTGACTCACTAATTCAGTCTTCGTGTGTCACTGTTTGTTTACGTCCTCCACAAAATCTGCGTCTCTCCATTATGTCTGGAAACTTTCCAAAATTTCAAGTGTTTTAAAGTTATTGCATACAGTGGACCCTCGACCAACGATGGCATCGATTAACGATAAATCCGACCAGCGATACATTTTAACGCAAAAATTTTGCCTCGACTAGTGCTAAAAAACTCAACCAACACTAATCGTTCCGTCTTAGACGCGTCCACTTCTGGCCAGTGTTTACAAGCCAGCCAGCCACTGCGGTCGCTTCCAAGCATACAATCGGAACATTCATATTATCACAGCCTTTTTAGTGATTGCACCTGCAAAATAAGTCACCATGGGCCCCAAGAAAGCTTCTAGTGCCAACCCTACAGGAAAAAGGGTGAGAATTACTATGGATATGAAGAAAGAGATCATTGCTAAGTATGAAAGTGGAGTGCGTGTCTCCGAGCTGGCCAGGTTGTACACAAAACCCCAATCAACCATCGCTACTACTGTGGCCAAGAAAACAGCAATCAAGGAAGCTGTTTTGCCAAAGATGCAAATATGTTTTCGAAACTGAGATCGCAAGTGATAGAAGATGTTGAGAGACTGTTACTGGTGTGGATAAACGAAAAACAGATAGCAGGAGATAGCATCTCTCAAGCGATCATATGTGAAAAGGCTAGGAAGTTGCATGAGGATATTAATTAGAAAAATGCCAGCAACTAGTGGTGATGTGAGTGAATTTAAGGCCAGCAAAGGTTGGTTTGAGAGAGGCATGGTGAGGCTGCCAGTTTGGACCAAAAAGCAGCTGAAAAATATGTGCAGGAATTCAAGGAGTACATAGACAGTGAAGAATTGAAACCTGAACAATGTTTAATTGTGACACTGACAATGTTGTGAAACACTTTAGGAATGTCATAAAGAAACGGGAGGTACAGGCCTCTATGGAGAGATATGTTGTGCAACAGAGGTCCAGTGACTCAAGCTGGTCCTAGTGGCATTAAAAGAAGAAGGGAAGTAACCCGAAAAAGGACTTGCCACCTCAAGTCTTAATGGAAGGGGATTCCCTTCTAAACACTAACACCATCAACACTCTCCCCTCCTCCCATCCCATCAGTCATCACCAGATCCTTCTATAAAGGTAAGTGTCATGTAACTGTGCATGTCTTCTTCAGTTTTGTGTGTATTAAATTAACATTTCATGTGGTAAAATTTTTTTTTCAATACTTTTGGGTGTCTTGCACGGATTAATTTGATTTTTCCATTATTTTCTTATGGGGAAAATTAACTCGACTAACGATAATTTCGATTAACGATGAGTTCTCAGGAACGGATTAATATCGCTGGTCGAGGGTCCACTGTATTTTATATACATTTTTTTTTAACACGTCAGCTGTTTCCCACAGAGGCAGAGTGACCCAAAAAGAAAGAAAAAAAGCTTTCATCATTCAACACTTTCATCATCACAGACCGGGCCGCGGGGGCGTTGATCCCCAGAACTCTCTCCAGGTAAACTCCAGGTAATCACTGTCTTTACTGAGGTGCTCAGACACGACAGTTTAGATGTCCCTCTGAGCTGCCTTGGTCATTTCGTGAGAATGTAACAAAGTAGAATGACTTGGAGAGCATATAAATCTGTAGGGAAAGGAAGGCGGGGTAAGGGTTGTCCTCAAAAAGGTTGGAGGGAGGGGGGTAAAGGAGTTATGTGGGTGAGGGGCTTGGACTTCCAGCAAGTGTGCGTGAGCGTATTAGATAGGAGTGAATGGAGACTAATGGTTTTGGGGACCTGACAAGCTGTGGAGTGTGAGTAGGGTAATATTTTGTGAAGGGATTCAGGAAAACTGGTTAGCCAGACTCAAGTCCTGGAGGTGAATAATACAATGCCTGCAATGTAAAGGAGGGGTTTGGAATACTGACTGTTTGGAGTGACATCTAAACCATCATATCTGAGCACCTCTTCAAGACAGTGATTATGTGTGAATGATGGTGAATTGTTTTTTTTTTTTTTCTGGGGGGGGGGGGGGGGGGTCACCCTGCCATGGTGGGAGATGGCCAGCATGTTGGGAGGGGAAAAAAGCAGACAAAGTGACTTATATCCAGATACCTGACTGAAACACAATACTACTCTCAGCTGAGTACAGCACCATACATTGTTCATGACCTGATTAACAGGGAGGCGGAACTGCAATCTAGAACAATAATTAGACAGAATGTATTAATTTACAAGTACCAGAAAAAGCTTGGGGAATACAGTTGACGTTGAACAAGACATAAGTTATGTCCCTAAAAACAGGTTCCTTCTGCAGAAAAATGTATTAACCAAGTTGAAGAACATGTATGAAAAATAGGTTACATTCCTGAGACCTCCAGAAATGCCAAACAAATGTTTTTTTATTCTTTATTACATTAAAAATAATTTAGTTTCAGAATAAATCCAAACAATGCATGACATCTATGCTGAGAATGCCAGAGGCATTAAATCAAAGATAAGCAGCAAAAATTTGGTTTCTTGGGAGTCATCTAAATAAAGATTGGTTAAATAACTCTATGTTGTTTCCATCTTACCGTTGGTGTCCCTCATGTCCTCTTCACGTTGACGCATGTATGAGAAGTCTTGTACAATGCTCTCACTAAGATCTTCCAGACGTTTCAGTTCAACCTCAAGAGGTTTTAGCTTGGCTGCTTCGCCCAACTGTATGTTGAGAAAACAATAAGTCAAAATTAATTAATAGTGGCATATAAAATTATGGAAAAAAGTTCCATAAAATCTTATATCACCACTGCCACCACAATTTATTAATTACCCTCTACTTTAAATTTAAATTACTACTATTATATAAAAACCAGTCCTAATTAGTACCATAGGTTAGTTTTTGTTAGAAACATACAGCAAAAAGTCTGCATAAAGGCTGGATGTTCAGCAAGGAACATAAAAGAAACACTGTCTGTTTATAAATTCAAGTCTCTTCTTAAAAACCACTTACTCACCCACAACTAAATATTATTATTATTATAATCAAAAAGAAGCGCTAAGCCACAAGGCTATACAGCGCTGCAGGGTAGGGAAGGAAGCAAGGGAATTGGATGGCAGAAGGGAGGGGGGATGATCAGCAGGTTACAGAAAACAGCGGGGCAGGGGATAGTACGGGGGTAGAGGGTAGCAAGAGATTCAAGTAGAAAGGGCTGAAAGTATCAGAATTTGTGAAGTAAGTCAGTTGTTGTCAAAAAGTCAATGAGAGAGTCCGGATGAAAGGTGGGTCCATCAGCGAGAAGGGAAGGAAAGGAAGCAGCGGGGCGAAGACGACGACAGAGGTAAATTCGCGTGCTCGTTGATAAAGTGGGGCCCAACAAAAATGGGGCTGACTGATAATGGAGCTTGGCAATTCCACAGAGAGGAGCAAGCGCCTCTCATGAGAACCCCATGAGTAAGAGGAGTTGGCCCCAAGCGAAGGGGGGAGAGAGAGTCCCCAAACCTCGACATGGGATAAGAAGAGGGCTCAGTAACCTATACTCAGTTTAATAGACTGAATTTTGTTGCCGAGCATAGTAGCCCAAACTTTTTGGCCAACGGGTGTGAAGGTGGAAGTATTACAGCAAAAATGTCCGTACATGGAAACCTCTATAAAAACTGGTAGGTCATGTCTGCTGACCGGCAGCGTGTTGCCTGTTCATTCCCCTGTAGTTAAACATGACGGGACCCAACAAAAAACAATTCTTTATGTTTGGTAAAATGCGGGGTACCCAAAAGTTGGTCGGAGGTAAGGGGGGAGGTGTTATAAATTTTTGATACCCTGAAAAGACTAAGGGAGTCTAGAAAACCCACAAATGATGACACAGGCATAGATGAAATACGGAAAAGTGCTGTAAGGGTGGATATAATTCAGCAGAAAAATACTAGCCAAAGATAGTAAATGCCCTTGTCGACGCTGTCCGGAAACACTGTGCGAATCCTACGCCGTCAAAAAGACTTAGAGCCATCTGTGTACCAGCAAAGGCATGAAAATGAGATGAAAGTGGCAAGGAAAAAGAGGCGGGAAGCGCCCGTGACGTTGGGCTTTCGAAAAAAAAGGGAGGGAGAAAGAACGGCCTCGAACAGCTAAAACTTCCAGGGGGGGGGGGGGGAAAAAGGAGATGCTACATGTACATAGAAAGGTGGTAGTTGAAAAGAAGACAAGAGCGAATGAGGCGAAAAAGAGAAGGGAGGGTAACAGGGGGGCGAACAAAAAAGAATGTTTTAAAAATAGGACCATTTTAAAAGGGAAAGGATTGCGGAGATCATGAGGCGTACATAGTAGCGCGGCAAAAGGGCATCACCGGCGATGGATAAGGATGGAACGTTCGCTTCTGATAGGGTTTTCGACGGGGGAAAAGAGCAAAAAAAAACCAAGGGCAAAACGTAACCTTGGTGATGAATGGGGTTAAGGCTAGAGAGAGTAGCGGGAGATGCCGCTGAATAGATTCTGGTCACCATAATCAAGTTTCGATAAAATAAGGGTGGAATGTAGGTAAAGGAGGGTTCGACGATCAGCTCCCCACGAAAGATGAGCAAGGGTTTTAAGAAGGTTCAGCCGGCTGACAAGTTCCCTTCAGAGAGGTAATGTGAGGTTTCAGGATAACTACGATCAAAGAGGAGGCCCAGAAACTTGACTGTATCACGTTCAGGGATACGGGAGCCATAGAGGTACAAAGGATGATCGGAGATGACAGAGCGTCTAGTGAAAGTGATTTGGGGTTTTAGTGCGGGAAAATTTAAACCCATGCGTGGTGGCCCCAAATTTGGAAACACGGTCGACTGCACGCTGGAGAGAAACTGTAAGGAGGGACAGTCAGCGCCTGCACAGGCAATAGCGAAGTCATCAACATAGAGTGATGACCAAATATTTGAGGGAAGACTAGAGGCCAAATCATTAATAGCAAGGAGAAAAAGTGTTGTGCTCAAAACACTCCCGGGGGACACCTTCAGCTTGGATAAAGTCCGGGGAGGCACATTTTTAAACCCCGAACACGGAAATCCCTTTGTCAGTTAAAAAGTTCTTAAGGAATGATGGTAGATTGCCTCGAAGGCCTAAGGAGTGGGCTTGGGCTAAAATATTTATACCTCCAAGTTGTGTCATATGCCTTCTCAAGGTCAAAAAATATGGCAATAACTGAGTGGTTATTCGCAAAGGCATTACGAACATACGTATCCAAGCGCAGTAAGGGGTCTATGGTAGACGTCCCTTACGAAAGCCATATTGCCCGGTGGAGAGCCCTGTTGTGTGTCTCTAAATACCACACTAACGTCTATTTATGGGGGTTTCCATATACTTTGCAAACTGCATGGTAAGAGCGATGGGACGATAGTGGGGTTTATGTCCCGTAGTGCGGTTTGGGGGAAAGGGAGAACAATGGCGGATTTCCACAGCTGTGGAAGAACTCCTTGTGACCAAATAAGATTGAAAAAGGCGTAATAGGACTGCAAGGGCTGACTGATGTAAATGTTGTAGCATACGAATTTGAATGTCGTCGGGCCCAGCGCCGATGATCGACAAGCTGAGAGTGTTGCCTCCAGTTCTTGAAGTGTAAAAGGCACATTATACTGTTCTTCTCTGAGAGAAGAAAAGTCCAAGGGTGCTAACTCTCTGGCAGACTTTGAGGAAAAAAATGGGGGGCATAGAGGGAGTCCCTGAGAAATACGGACCAGATGATTGCCAATTTCATTGGCAACATTCTATGTGGGTTTGCTATATCAACACCGGAACCCGCAGAAAGGAGCCGGGTCAGGAGAATATTTACCACTCAGTTTTCGAAATTTTTTTCCAGACTGCACTCTTTGAGGAAGCAGAGGTGATGGTGGGGGAATAATCTCGCCAGCAAGTGCGTTAGCGTCACGGATGACACGGCGAGCGATCGCACGCTTCTGTTTAAAATCAAGGAGTCGCTCCTGTGGTTCTATTGTACCGGTACCTGCCCCATGCAGCGCGTTTCAAACGTACTGCCGAGCACAAGCAGGAAAACCACCAAGGCACGCATTTCTGAGAATGCCTGCCCGAAGTTTGGGGTATAGAATGAGAAGCTGCGGTGAAAACGGAGGACGGAAGAGGTGTAAAAGCTCATCGATGGAGGACGAAGAAGGAACCCCCTTTAAAACAGTCAGGTGTGAGTAAAGGTTTCCCAATTTGCCCGATTAAATTGCCAGCGTGGGGTGCGAAGAGGTGGCGAATATGAAGGGGAAGTAAGAATGATTGGGAAATGATCACTGTCATGTAAGTCCGGAGAACAGACCAAGTGAAGTCTAATGCGGCGGAGGAAGAGCAAAACTGAGAGATCGATGCAAGAGAGAGTACGAGTCCGAGGATCAAAATGGGTGTGAGTACCTGTATTTAAAAAACATGGGGGGGGTGGGTGGCAAGAAAAGCCTCTAACTGAATTCCAGGGGAAAATCACAGTGAGACCCCCCCAGAGGAAATGGTGGGCATTAAAATCACCAAGAAACCCAAGAAGCGGTGGCGGTAATAAAGAAACAAGGAAGGCAAATCCGGAATGATAATGCCCGAGAAGGAGAGAGATATAAAGAACAGAGCGTTATACCACCTATGTAAGTGGATACGGGCTGCTGTGTAATGCAGCGAAGTATGAACAAATAGCTGATGGTACGGAATATCAGTGCGGAGAAGAAGGGCACTTTCATTAAAGGTCCCATCAGGAAAAGGATCTGAAAAATACAATAAATTATACCCTGAGATGTGAGAAAAACAGCAGAGTGAAATTTTTGGGTTTCCCTGTAAGCAAAACACCAACGGGGGCAAACTGGGAGAGTAACATCTGAAGCTCCCCCCGATTACCCCTGAGGCCGCGTATATTCCACTGTAAAAAAGGCCATGATTGGCAATGATAAAGATACTTAAAAATCCGCAGGAAAGGGTTCCAAACGGACTAGAAGGGTTAGAAAAGTCCACATGCGGAGGCAGTGGAAAATGTTCAAGCAGCGAAGGAACGGTGCGCTGTGAAGAAAGGAGTTGCGCAGATGGAGCAGAGGAGAGAGAAAGAGCGGAAGGTGGATCAGTGTCCCTTGATGGTTTGGTCTCTGCAATATATTCAGAGATTGCTTCAAGTGTTTCGGAATTCAGAGATGTCGTTTTGGGGGACAATATTGGGAATGGTAGGGGGAGGATTTAGTTTAAAAATTGGAACTGTATTGGACTGTACCAAGGTAGGGGGGGCGAAAGGGTGGAGGGAACTGGAGAAACGTGGCAGGGGACAGAAAAGACAGGAACCTGGGAGGTGGCAGAAGAGGAAGAAACAAACTTGGGAGGGAACAGGGGAGGGAAAGGTACATTTCGAGGAGGAGGGTGAACCTCTGCATTTGTAACTGGGCCAGTGAGAGGGAAGAACTAGGGACAGAGACAGGGAGGGTAAAAAAGAGGAGGTGGAAGATGGGTAGGAGGTGTTACCGGACCCTTTTTTTGACTTTTGAGAAGTAGGGGACATTGGGAAGAGGTGTCGACGAGGTCTCGTCGATACTGAGGCTTGTAAGAGAGAACTCGAAGAAGCGAGATTAAAACTGAGGCGTTGAAGTAGGGACGTCTGGCCGAGGACAGCAAAAGGATTAGATACAGGGTGATTAGGGAGAGGTAACCACAGAGGTGGGTGTAGAGATGGGGTACCAAAAAAGGGGGGGGGGACGTTTTGAACACGGGAATAAGAAACACGTGGGAGTCTCCCTTGGAGGCGGAGATGAGAAACTGCCATGGCATAAGGGAGACCTTCTGTCTCTTTGAGGTAACGGATTTCCCGCTCGTTTAAATAGACCTGACAACGGCAAGAGTACGAAGGGTGAGCCTCATGACAGTTAAGGCAAGAGGGAGATCGATTGCAAGAGTATTGAAAAGGTCCCTCGGCACCCCAGGGCTGGGGATTCGGCGATAGATCTGCAATATTTCGCTGGATGGCCAAATCGCCAGCAATTTCTACACTGTTGTGGTGTAGGGGTCACCTTTTGAACTTGTAACCGATGTCCTGCTATATAAACTGAGGATGGGAGTTCTCGGCTGTCAAAAGTTAAACGAGCCACATTGCTAGGTATTTGTCTCCGCCCACGGGCAGGAAGAACGTAAGTGTCTACCTTGGGATTGGGAGATCTTGGAGTTCCAGCTGTTCTAGAATGTCGGTGCCACATGTTTTGGAAATTTTGTTGAACTTGGTATGGGGCAGAATGACGGTACCACTACAAGATTGAGGGAATGAGTTTTTCAAAAGGGGACAGGAACAGTATGTATATGGGAAAAGACGAGGAGTCACGAAACCTGGGGGAGCATTCGTACGGTAATGATGCGCGTACGCTCTTAAAAGCAAAGAAAAGAATATCTTTACCAACCATGGCGTAGGTGTGCCTTGCCAATACTATGGTCAGAAAGTTAGGCAGTAGAGGAAGTTGGTCGTTTAAAGTGAAGAATTTAGTCCACTGTTCAGTCTGAAAACGAGCGGGGGAAAGGTAGTGAAGGACGTGTCGATCGTTTCTGAGAAGAACGAGGTGAAGGGGGTGGAGAAGTATCATCAGCAGGTTTAAAAGTCGTTGACGTTTAGGCGTGGGACCAGAGTTGGTCCGACGTGGAACGGGTCGGCGATTTGAAAAATTGCCCCCACCGTGAGGGAGAGGCCGGAAGCATAGTCAGAGGAGAGCGAAGGTTCTGATAAAAACGAAGAGTAGTCGGGCCTCAGTACCTGAAGCGGGTGAGGAAACAGCACCGGGAATAGGTACAGAGCATGAGGAATGTCTGAAGAGTGGTCCAAAGACGAGGCGGGGTCCCGAACGGGGGTGCGGTATCAAGAAAAGGGGCCCGGGGGTACCAGGTTCATGGACTAGGGCTGCCATGGTTAGGTTACTTCTTTCTTTTTGTTTTTAAGAAAAAAAAAAGAAGAAGAAAAGAAAATAAAAATAAAAAAAGAAAAAAAAAGGGGGGACCGGGGGGGATAGGTCCTAGGAAAGGGAAAGAAAGGGCCAGAAATCACCCTCCGCGCCCAAGAGGACCTCAGCACCGCAAGTAGCGCAGATTTCAGCATGGAACCCGTGCCATACCCCACCCATCATGCTAAATAAACTAACAATCCGGGATAGCAACCTCACATCTGCGAGCTACCTCGGTGGACAAAGAGAGGGCGGCCGGATATCCGCCACAAAGCATACCTCCTTCGGCCACCACCCCCGGAATCCGAAAGGTGGCTTCCAGAGATACACTCGTCGCCCCAAAGACACCCAAAGCTACTCCGGGATACCGGAGAGGGATGGGACATCCCCAGGCGATTTCCCGATTCCAAAGGCAAACTACGCCCCGCTAAGAACCTCAACGGAATGGGATGGACCCCGGTAAACCTTTCTCCTACCCAGGAACTAGCGCGCCTGTGGGAGAAATCCCAAAGGACAAAAAGAGGAAGGGCAAAAGGGAGGGAAAATGGGGAGGAGGAAAGGGGGAAAGGAAAAAGGGAGGATGGGGAGGATGGGATAGGGAGGGGAGATTGGGGGGGTAATTAGGTCGGTCTGAGGAAGAAGACCGAAGGTCTAATTCCTCAGACCAAGAGCCTCTTCACCCCGCCAAGGAGCCCCCCTTGAAGAGGGCCCCAACTAAATAAATACTGCATAACTGTATCTTATAAATTATAACCTGTGACCCTTTCAAACTTTGTTTTTTTATTACATTACCTAATAGAATACTGCATTCTCTTGAATGCACAGTAACTCATCAAATGATCATAAGATCTGTCTTTGAAATACACATTTGTGCTAAATTGTTACTTGTTTACTGTCATTTTTACCACTGAATATATCATTGCTTAGTTAAGCTTCAGTTAATTTTAAGCCTGCCCATAATGTTCTGCATACAAGGGGCTTTTGGCATGTACACTTAACCACTGTATTTCTTTGTACATCTATGTATCATGTCCAATTAATATAACTAAATAAAAAAGGAAGGCAGAGTAAGTGTATAGATGTTGTAGATGTCAGAAGTGGATTGTGTGTGCTCTCTGACAGAACAGTTTAATATATGGTGACCTGACAGTGTGACCTGGGAGTCCTTGCAGAGGTATTCATATGCAAGGAGCGTGTCCAATTATAATCGCTCAAGTGTAGTTACCCCTCCCCCCCACACGACAACAATGGAAAGAAGATGGCCAGGAACATAAAGATAACCCAGAGAGTTAACCACCCAGAAAAATGCAATAAAATCTGAATGTTATTGGAGATTTTGGTGTTATTTCCACTGGATTCTTTAATCTTCTCTTCCAGGATACAGTCCACTAACACCCAGATATCTATTTACTGCTAGGTGAATAGGGGCAACAGGTGTACGAAAACATGCCCAGGGTTTACCCATGCTGGGATCAATCCTTGATCGCTCAGTGTGGCTGAAGGATGCTAATAAACTGATTTGATAGGATTTTTTTTTTTCTTCCCATGTCTACAAACTTTTATTACTACTAATATTTTTATTACATTCCCTGGTGAGCACTAAACCCTGAAGGATCATACAGTACCTATGAAATAAGATTCAATCAGATTTGATCCCATATAGGTATATGTTGTTCACTGAGCAGTTCTAGCTACAGTATAATTTGGAAAACTAAGGTATATTTCATGTATTTACTATTCTATATCAGATATATTAAAATCATTGACAACAAAAAAAAAGAATGTTAATCTATTCATTATTAATTATTATTATTACACAGCTTGCTGATCAGTTCTTTAAGTCAAACAAACTGGAGAAACTTAAGAAATGCACTCACCCCACCTACAGTAAATAACAGCAATTCACATTATTTTTATACACAATCTATACCTTAATATTAAACATTCTAAAGATCTAAAGAGCTTCACCCTTAAACAAAGTAAATCATTTGTATTGTTAAAGTTATTAGTTTAAACATTTTTCCAGCCATCAAATTTACAAAATGTATACAAAAACTGTTTGTAAGCCAGAAACTCATCTAGATTATTTATAAAAGTTTAAAAGCACACACCACACTCGTTTTTGCAAATTAAAACACAAAGCTAGAAGCTTCGTGATGATGATGAGTGGTAACAACAGGTTAGTGAATCAATAATCAACTAGTATTGGGATGTGCCACACAATTATGCAAACTTTTAACTTACAAACATCTGCTGTAGAAAATGTATATCGACGTGTGGAAAAGAAAACAAAAGTTAGGTTAAATTCACCTGTAAATATAAAATGAATCGAGTCTGCAATTAGGTACAGTATTTAAAGTCTTAAAATATTACATAATTTAAAACTACTATAAAGAATTCTTAGTGAATGTAATAATGAACTAACAAGAAATGAATTTAAAAGGGGCTGTGAACTACACATTTTCAAGGGGACAGAGGAAAATATGCAAAATGAAGATGTGTGGATTCAAGTTTATAATTACAATAACACTTAGAGAAAAAAACACTATAACTTATCTAACACAACAAACAGAACATAGATATGAAACAGTGCTGCTGAAATAAGCCACATGAAAGGTGTAGGGGGTTACGAATGAATAACCGAGTTAAGATGATGATCCACATTTATGAGCGAGGCTCAGTAGGCGTAATATTCAGAAAATAATTGCTTTCCCAATGCCAATCTGCAGTACAAGCATGTGCAACACAAATATCCTTTGTACTATCATTACCTACAGGATAACAGGTTCACATTTACAAACATCTTGTTTGCAAGTTGAAACACCAGGAATGTAATTCATACACAAGTTGGGCATCTCCTATATTTATGTTACAGTAATAGTAACAGCTGGGAGAATGTTAAGGATGAAAATAAGCATGGCTTAACATAGACATGACAAGTGAATCTCTAAGTATGGCTGAAGAGAAGTGTACACTGGAAAATTTCTATAGAATGTATGGAAAATTTCTGTAGAAAGTACAAAAAGGGGTAAGATACCATGGGAGGGCAGGAAAATACAATAGAGGCAAAGATAATTGGTAGGTAGCCAATAACAACTATTTTTTTTTTAACACATTGGCTGTCTCCCAACAAGGCAGGGTGACCCCAAAAAAAAGAACACTTTCACCCATCATTCACACACAATCACTGTCTTTGCAGAGGCACCCAGATACAACAGTTCAGATGTTATTACAAACAGCCAATATCCCAAACCCGGCCTTTTAAGTGCAGGCACTGTACTTCCCACCTCCAGGACTCAAGTTTGGCTAACCAGGTTCCCTGAATCCCTTCACAAAATATTACCCTGCTCACACTTCAACAGATTGTTAAGTCCCAAAAACCATTCGTTTCCATTCATTCCTCTCTAATACGCTCATATTAGAATTTATCAAGAAATCCTTAACCCTCACTTGAGGGTCCCTCAAGTGCGCTCAGCTCACTCATAAACCGAGTGGTAAATTTTGTCTTAGATACGAGAGAATGGGTCTGTGTGGCAAGCGTACACAGTATGCATATTAAAAAATTCTGCTCTGCATGATAGGAAAAAGAATTTTTCTATGTGAAGTGATTTTTAACAAAAGCAGCATTTAGAATAGCTGGATACAAATTCCATGCACATTCTCCCCCTCCCCCCCCCAAAAAAAAAATTGTGATCTTTAATCGTCAATAAATAATAACCATGGACTCCAATATACAAGTAAAAGTGAAATAAACTTACTGATTCATATGTCTTGGCTTCCACCCCATGCTTAGTTTTGAGAGTAACCTCCTGCTGGATACCTCGTTGAGCTGAGAAAAAAAAAATAATAATAATAATAATAAAAAGGCTTTAGAATAATTACCTAGTTAATGTTAGAAACAATTGTATAATAACTATCGTTGCAAGCTAGAAGGGTAAAATAGTAATGTAAATACAGTACAGCCTCTCCTCACTTAGTGACACACTTGTTTACCGACGACTCGGATTTACGACTGGCTCTCTGAACAGTATGCATACCTAAATAATGTATATTAGAGCTGATTTCCTCTATTCTGTTTATTACAATATACAGTACACTACTGTATAAACATTTAAAAATATATCATAAATGTTACAAATGGTGCAAAGGTAACATTAAAACATTATGAAAGATGGTAGACACAAACCCACTACCACTATAGTATACTCCTTGCTTAGTGACGAATTTGTTTACCAACATGGTCCTAGGAATGGAACTCCATAGTTAAGTGAGGAGAGGCTGTATTTATACAACAGAGCCAGACTTCAGATGTTCTGATCTGTAATATTCTGCACTTACGATCAGGGTACCTTGGAACTATTTAGTGACTTATGCATGCTGATCTGCAATTACATTCATTGCAAATATTCAAACAATTTTTTTAACACACCAGCTGTCTCCCACCAAGGTAGGGTGACCCAAAAAAAAAAAAAAAACACTTTCACTATAAGTTTTGCCAGAAGCACACTGATACTATAGTTCATATGCCACTCCAAGCTGCAATATCACACCCCTCCTTTAGAGTACATGCACTGTATTTCCAGCCCCAGGACTCAAGCCCATATAACCAGTTTCCCTGATATCCTCAATAATTGTTACCATGCTCAAGCTCCAACAGCACGTAGTTACATAAAACTGCAACTTGCCTCCACTCACTATCTAACATACATACACAGGCCTGTTAGAAAGATGCCGAAACCCCTCGCATAAAAAACCTCCTTAACCCCCTCCAACCTTTCCTAGGATGACCCTTACCCTGCCTTCCCTCCATTACAGATTTACACACCCTCCAAGTCTTCCTATTTTCTCCATCCTCTTAAATGTCCAAACCACTTCGACAATACACAAATAACCCGCACATAAAAGAGAGAAGCTTACGACAACCCCTCCTCAACCCTATGGATAATACTTTTCGTAACTCTACACCTTCTAATCTCCAAACAGTTACTGCCATTGAGAATGCCAGGATCTGGAGGAGATATAACAAAGGTTATGTTATCTGCAAAAGATGAAATATCACATGTTATACTTAACACGCACATTGTAAGTTTCTGTTTACACATCATTCATAATTTTAAACTTTGACAATGGCTTTATGTACAACAGTAAATTTTGCAGAACTGAACTAAGATACCCAATAAAGTCAAGCAGACGGGGTCTTGTGCAATACTTTGTTTTTTATTATCACACTGGCTGATTCCCACCAAGGCAGGGTGGCCTGAAAAAGAAAAACTTTCACCATCATTCACTCCATCACTGTCTTGCCAGAAGGGTGCTTTACATTACAGTTTTTAAACTGCAACATTAACACCCCTCCTTCAGAGTGTAGGCACTGTACTTCCCATCTCCAGGACTCAAGTCCGGGCCCGCCGGTTTCCCTGAACCCCTTCATAAATGTTACTTTGCTCACACTCCAACAGCACGTCAAGTATTAAAAACCATTTGTCTCCATTTACTCCTATCAAACACGCTCACGCATGCCTGCTGGAAGTCCAAGCCCCTTGCGCACAAAACCTCCTTTACCCTCTCCCTCCAACCTTTCCTAGGCCGACCCCTACCCCGCCTTCCTTCCACTACAGACTGATACACTCTTGAAGTAATTCTGTTTCACTCCATTCTCTCTACATGTCCGAACCACCTCAACAACCCTTCTTCAGCCCTCTGGACAACAGTTTTGGCAATCCCGCACCTCCTCCTAACTTTGAAACTACGAATTCTCTGCATTATATTCACATCACACATTGCCCTCAGACATGACATCTCCACTGCCTCCAGCCTTCTCCTTGCTGCAACATTCATCACCCATGTTTCACACCCATATAAGAGCGTTGGTAAAACTATACTCTCATACATTCCCCTCTTTGCCTCCAAGGACAAAGTTCTTTGTCTCCACAGACTCCTAAGTGCACTGCTCACCCTTTGCCCCTCATCAATTCTACGATTCACCTCATCTTTCACAGACCCATCCGGTGACACGTCCACTCCCAAATATCTGAATACATTCACCTCCTCCATACTCTCTCCCTCCAATCTGATATCCAATCTTTCATCACCTAATCTTTTTGGTATCCTCATAACCTTACTCTTTCCTGTATTCACTTTCAATTTTCTTCTTTTGCATACCTTACCAAATTCATCCACCAACCTCTGCAACTTCTCTTCAGAATCTCCCAAGAGCACAGTGTCATCAGCAAAGAGCAACTGTGACAACTCCCACTTTATGTGTGATTCTTTATCTTTTAACTCCACGCCTCTTGCCAAGACCCTCGCATTTACTTCTCTTACAACCCCATCTATAAATATATTAAACAACTACGGTGACATCACACATCCTTGTCTAAGGCCTACTTTTACTGGGAAATAATCTCCCTCTTTCCTACATACTCTAACTTGAGCCTCACTATCCTCGTAAAAACTCTTCACTGCTTTCAGTAACCTACCTCCTACACCATACACCTGCAACATCTGCCACATTGCCCCCCTATCCACCCTGTCATACGCCTTTTCCAAATCCATAAATACCACAAAAACCTCTTTAGCCTTATCTAAATACTGTTCACTTATATGTTTCACTGTAAACACCTGGTCCACACACACTCCCTACCTTTCCTAAAGCCTCCTTGTTCATCTGCTATCCTATTCTCCATCTTACTCTTAATTCTTTCAACAATAACTCTACCATACACTTTACCAGGTATACTCAACAGACTTATCCCCCTATAATTTTTGCACTCTCTTTTGTTCCCTTTGCCTTTATACAAAGGAACTATGCATGCTCTCTGCCAATCCCTAGGTACCTTACCCTCTTCCAAACATTTATTAAATAATTGCACCAACCACTCCAAAACTATATCCTCACCTGCTTTTAACATTTCTATCTTTATCCCATCAATCCCGGCTGCCTTACCCCTTTTCATTTTACCTACTGCCTCACGAACTTCCCCCACACTCACAACTGGCTCTTCCTCATTCCTACAAGATGTTATTCCTCCTTGCCTTATACACGAAATCACAGCTTCCCTATCTTCATCAACATTTAACAATTCCTCAAAATATTCCCTCCATCTTCCCAATACCTCTAACTCTTCATTTAATAACTCTCCTGTCCTATTTTTAACTGACAAATCCACTTGTTCTCTAGGCTTCCTTAACTTGTTAATCTCACTCCAAAACTTTTTCTTATTTTCAACAAAATTTGTTGATAACATCTCACCCACTCTCATTTGCTCTCTTTTTACATTGTTTCACCACTCTCTTAACCTCTCTCTTTTTCTCCATATACTCTTCCCTCCTTGCATCACTTCTACTTTGTAAAACTTTCTCATATGCTAACTTTTTCTCCCTTACTACTCTCTTTACATCATCATTCCACCAATTGCTCCTCTTCCCTCCCGCACCCACTTTCCTGTAACCACAAACTTCTGCTGAACACACTAACACTACATTTTTAAACCTACCCCATACCTCTTTGACCCCATTGCCTATGCTCTCATTAGCCCATCTCTCCTCCAATAGCTGTTTATATCTTACCCTAACTGCCTCCTCTTAGTTTATAAACCTTCACCTCTCTCTTCCCTGATGCTTCTATTCTCCTTGTATCCCGTCTACCTTTTACTCAGTGTAGCTACAACTAAAAAGTGATCTGATATATCTGTGGCCCCTCTATAAACATGTACATCCTGAAGTCTACTCAACAGTCTTTTATCTACCAATACATAATCCAACAAACTACTGTCATTTCGCCCTGCATCATATCTTGTATACTTATTTATCCTCTTTTTCTTAAAATATGTATTACCTATAACTAAACCCCTTTCTATACAAAGTTCAATCAAAGGGCTCCCATTATCATTTACACCTGGCACCCCAAACTTACCTACCACACCCTCTCTAAAAGTTTCTCCTACTTTAGCATTCAGGTCCCCTACCACAATTACTCTCTCACTTGATTCAAAGGTTCCTATACATTCACTTAACATCTCCCAAAATCTCTCTCTCTCTACATTCCTCTCTTCTCCAGGTGCATACACACTTATTATGACCCACTTTTTGCATCCAACCTTTACTTTAATCCACATAATCCTTGAATTTACACATTCATATTCTCTTTTCTCCTTCCATAACTGATCCTTCAACATTTCTGTTACCCCTTCCTTAGCTCTAACTCTCTCAGATACTCCAGATTTAATCCCATTTATTTCCCCCCACCGAAACTCCCCTACCCCCTTCAGCTTTGTGCAATACATGTTACATTAATAGACAAACGCTCTAGACAAAGGATGTACAAATATGAGAAATATTGAGATTAAGAATAATCTGTCACCAAATAAAGAAAAATTATAACAAGGATAAATAAGTAAGCCTTTCTTAAATAAAATGGGATCACCCCCACTTAGTTTCATGTTACATTGGAAACAAATGAATGTCAAACTTACTTGGAGGAACCCTGGAGATAAAACAGATTTCATACACATCATAGTCTTCAGTATTGAATATAAACTTGCCAGTCTCAGCTTCTTCTTTTAAATACAAATGATGACCTTTAGAGTCTGTAACCTGCAAAATGTATTATTATTACTATTACACTTATTACTATAATACATTGCTGTGTATATTAAAATAAATGTTAAGTGTGTTGATGTGTTTATTAAATATTTCTTAAGTGATAATAAGTGTATGAAGTCAAAGACATTTCAACAAACTCTCATCATGCATACGAGGCATAACCAACAGACTCCTGGCTGTCTTCAAGAGGGAACTTTATAACCTCAAGTCAGGTCCTGATCAGTCAGGTTATGGTGCATACACTGAGCTGCATGTAGCTGGCACCAACAGCTTAGAGCCTTAGATGATCTACCGGGAGGCCTGAATGTGTCAATGTCACGAGGGCGTTGACACTCTGAACACACTCCAATTAGACAAGATAACATTTTATTCAAAATTTTAACCCAGAGTTAACCACCCAGGGTAACCAAACAAAATCCATACATCACTGGATACTAACAAGTCTTATTTCCATTGCTGGTCCTTGAGTCTTCCCCAGAGTACCAACCACAACAGTCTACTAAACCACAAGTAGGTATCTACTTATTGTTAGGTGAACTGGGATGGCAAATGTAAAGAAACATATCCGTTTCATCCATGCCAGGGATTGATTACCCGACCCCTCAGTGTGTCAGCTAAGCACACTATCATCTGAGCCACAAGCATCCATATAACCTTTCAATTTCTATGTTCAAAATACTACTCTGGATAACATTCACACCACACACTGCTCTAAAACATAGTATCTCCACTGCCTCTAGCCCTCACACCCATATAAAAAAAAGTGCTGCTATCACTACACTCTGGTATGGAATTTTGTACAAAGTCCTGCAGAATATATAGCATATTGGGAAAAGTAATGCTAATATATGTGAAAATATTATTGTATACTCTAGCTTTAATATTAAAATTTTAGGCCATGTACATAGTGTAATGACAATTTGAATGGGGACATACAAGTGTATTTATTTGCAGATGGACATTAATGCAGATTAAACATTAATGCAGTACAGTATTACACTGGGAAAACTGCATCACATAGTCGACACTAATTTCTGTAACAATAATTTAGTGTGGTAACATGGAAGTGGTGACCCAGAATTATCTTCATGTAGAAATGTCTAATTTCTAATGTTTGTCACATCATATACATTATCATCTTAATTTAAACATAATTTCCAATTGGTTATCAAGTGTAAGCAATAACCGAGACAATAAGAGGAAGGAGGCACATTTATACATTCATGGGAAAATGCTAGACCCCTATGAGTTAAAAAGTCCCTGGGAAATAGGACCGAATGAAGGATGATCACAAGACTAAATTTAATTTTGGTAATAAGTGAATATCAGTCACTGACATTTTTTTTGACAATAAAATATAGGATAAGATGTGCAGTATTAACCCTTAAACGGTCCAAACACATATATACGTTCACGCACGTAGCGCCCCAAATGTATATATACGTTTTCTTTGTCATTCATTCAACATTGCCACAATAAGCCTGAGTCACCTAGACATGAGAGAATGGGTGTGTGCACTCACTGTGTTCCATATTAAAATCACTGGGGATGCCTGGGTACCATATGCTCTTTTTTCCTTTTAAAAGAAAAAATTTTTTTCCTCAAAAAATTTGGGGCGCTACGCGAGTGAACGTATATATACATTTGGACCGTTTAAGGGTTAAGTGGGTTTTGCCATGGACATAATTTTATGTTGTGCAAGCAGGAAAATAACTTAGCACAATCTAACAGACCAACATAACTTAGTATAACCTAATGCAACAACTTAACTTATTCTATTATTGACAGAAATATCAGACATCTTTATGCTCAATGTGATTGGCCAGGTACACTGACTGACTCATACTAACAGCTGACTGGCCCTGATGTGGCATTCATACAAAATTAAAAGGCATTATCGTAGGATCTCCCAAAATAACAATTTGCATATGGTAACTATTTATCCCATAGTGTAGATAGCTGGTACATATCATAAAATAAAATAATGCTCTATTTCTGCAGAAGGAGCAACCTTCAGTCAGTCATAATTACTTGGCTTGGGTCTTTCACTGGCATTAAGACACCTTCCTTCCTTTGAAAATGGAAAATGGCAGTGTGGGTGAATTTGTGCATGTTAATGTAGTGCTAAACTTGTACAGGTCATGTGTATGTCTACATTCATTAGTGAGAGGTTTCACTCAAGTGGTTTTAGCAATCCAATACAAGAATAAAAAGTCTGATAAATCCTACAACAACCCAAATAATTTCTTGATAATCATGTACGTACAATGATGTATGTAATCTACTTACATATACATTCATTATATATTAACA